TGCACAACTGATCAACACACAGTCTTCACAGAGTGAGGTTCCACTGGTGATGTAGTTTAACACAATGACCGCATGACAATTAACCAATAGCCAGAAATACTGAGATGGGCATAATCTGGCCAAAAAAAGGACTGGGCATGGGGGGGGGCAACACCGAGAAGGCCCTCTCCTTCATCCCCGCCAGCCATACCTGTGATGGTGGTGGGAGTGAGAAGAGAGCAATGGCTGAATAAATGGTTAAGCAAAAAAGAGGGGGAAATTGTTGCCTGACAGCTGCATGCAAGGGGAATCATTCAGCTACAGAAATCACAATATTAACAATTCCTAACCAAACTCTCACCTACAGATTTTCAATGTCATATTCTAAAGAATGGCTGATAGACTGAGCTTCATGGACATGTGACAGTCCATGAAAATATATCAGCAACAGAGTGTCATTGTGTTTCCAGCAATGCGATGAAAGAGAAACGACTGATTTGTAAGAAACAAAGCTGAATGTTAAAGATTTTTCACCTCAAGAAAGCTCAATGGGACTTACATGATGAACATCTAGGTCTTTTAGGTACAATGACTGCTGAAAAACAGATCACTGTTCCAAGTACTCACAATATCTATCTGACCAGAAGACAATACTGATACTGGAGATGGATTCAATCTATCAGACCCACATTTCAATCTATCAGACCCACATTTTCTAAATATTCATTGATTATGGAGAGGGAGGGAAGGGATACAGATTTGAGGGGAAGAAAATGTCCCTGATGCCTTCAGCAAATATGGTTTAACAAAATATAGTTGACAGGATGACCAAGACTGACTTCCCCCTTTATGGGTGACTTGAAAAAGAGTTTCTTTGCTGTTCTCCTTCCAGCGATATATTCTCTGGACATGTGCCTCTCCTATGGAACATCATTCTAATTGCATTCTATTCTGGAAAGGTATGGACTAGGAAGGCCGTTTTTAAAAGTCAAAGAAAAGGAGAAACTACTTTGCTACGTTGTCCAATAATCAACCTATTCCAGTCTAAAAATGTTCTTGCTCTTGCTTGAAAATGGCAGAAAGGAAATTTGGGCTCCCACAATGGGTAGTGATTTTATGTCAGATCCTCTTCAATAGATATTAAACATTTTTTTCATCCCCACAATAAACCACTCATTCTGTTCAATGAACTGGTATATTTGATGCTTTTACCTATCATAACAATCAGTAACCCTCAGATAGTTCACTGAGAACTATCGTTATATTTGTAATAAACAAGTCAAAAGTCAGATTAGTCTAAACAGAATTACTAGGGCAGGGAGACACCAGGATAAAGTAAAGTCTTGCTCTTGCCATAAACCTTTGTGATTTAGTATTTCATTTATGAACATCTGTGTCTAATGTTCATAAGCTATAGTATTCCTGGGTTGCTGTGAGTTTCCCGAGCTGTATGGCCATGTTCCAGAAGCATTCTCTCCTGATGTTTCACCCACATCTATGGCAGGCATCCTCAGAGGTTGTGAGGTATATTGAAAATGAAGCAAGGGAGATTTATACATCAGTGAAAAGTCCAGGGTGGGAGAAAGAACTCTTGTCTGTTGGAGGCAAGTGTGAATACTGAAATTAATCACCTTGATTATCTATTATTTATTTATTTATATTTATTTGCAGTATTTGTATACAGCCCTTCTCAACCCCAAAGGGGACTCGGCAGTTCACAGTGAAAAACCTTGCAGCTTCAAGGCCAGGCTGATTCCTGTCTGGGGAAATCCTTTGTTGAGAGGTGTTAGCTGCCCCTGGTTCACACTTGCTTCCAACAGACAAGAGTTCTTTCTCCCACCCTGGACCTTCCACAGATATATAAACCTCCCTTGCTTAGTTTCCAATATACCTCACAACCTCTGAGGATGCCTGCCATAGATGTGGGCAAAACGTCAGGAGATAATGCTTTTGGAACATGGCCATACAACCTGGAAAACTCACAGCAACCTGGTGATTCCAGCCATGAAAGCCTTCGACAACACAATAGTATTCATGTGGAAATCAGTATAATTAAAAGATTGCATTACTCTGATGAAACCTCTATTTTGAAGCAAAGAAAGGCAAAGTGAAAATTCCAAGGTATTTGGACTCTTTTTCAAACCCAAAGAAATGAACTTAGTCAAATATCGAATTATAATCCAATGGAACAACTTCAATTTGTGTTACTGTTAGGGCAATCTTATAAATCAGGAGTGGAATCATGTGGTTCTCCAAATATATTGGATAACAAATAATCCCATTACCCCTTGACAGCACAACAAGTCATGAGAGTTGCCTGGAGCTACAATACGCATTGTGGAAAAGTACATGCTTCCTACCTTGTTACATGTTTTTACTCAGAAATGGCACTGTCAATAAATATTACTTACTAGCCCCGATCGAGGTCTAACAGTGCAATTGTATCAGGTCTTTAAAAGAGTTTAGGTCAAAGTAAACAACTGGCCTAATAATGTTGAACATCTAAAAAGCCTTTTATAAAAAAGTGCAGATATAGTTGCATGTCTGTCAAAAGCAATGAAAAGGAATGCAGAGCACGATCTTCAGTTGAAGGTCTTGTAAACATCAATATTTTCTGGCATTTCCAAAAGGTTTATTATTATTATTATTATTAAAATCAAAGTGTTTTCTTTACCTGCAGCCCTTTGCACTCAGCAGTAAACAACATTATTTTGAATGGTGCTTACTTCCAGGTCCAAGGGAGTCCAAGATTGCACATAGTGCATTTTCTTTGTAAGCATCATTAAAAATGTGGCTCGCAGTTGTAAATCTCCCTTCTACTGATTTATTAAAAGAATCTTACCACTATTGATGAATAATTCTGCAAGTTGCTCCTTGGAGAAATCGGCATCTATCTTCACTTTAACTATTTCACAGCAGAATCCAGCAGCCATTTGCTTATGCTGTATTAAAAGTTCAGAAACTTAGCAAAGGTATGCAATGCTTTCCTCCTCACCCCACTCCTATTATTGAAGGATTTTTATCTCCCTACCTTCATACAGAGGGCGATCTGATCTGCCACATAATCCTGCAAACTTCCTTCTGGACCATGGAAGATGATATTTCGGTACTGTTCCACCTAGGGATAAATACATAAAAATACTGATGTGTATTTCAACAGGGTTGCTTCAAAAGCAATGGAAACAATGTTTTGTGAACACTGCTACTGGTATAAACGTATACTAGTCTATTCAAAAGTACATCCTACTGAATTCAGCGGGCATTACTGCTATTTATTTATTTATTTATTTCGTGTACTTCTACCCCGCCCTTCTCAACCCCCGAGAGGGGACTCAGGGCGGCTTACAAAAAAGGCACAATTCGATGCCTACACAGTAATACAGATAAAATATAGACAGCAATTAAAACAGTTATAACAGTTAAAACAATCAATATATATCAKAGTCAATAAAAACCAATCTTATGCTCAACTTTCGCAACTCAGAGTCCATTATTTCATTCCACATTTTCCATTCCTATCAGTCGTCGTTGTCCTTTATTTATCTGCCAGATTGCCCAAACGCCTGGTCCCAAATCCATGTCTTTAATTTCCTTCTAAAGGAAAGGAYGGATGACGATGATCTAATTTCCCCGGGGAGTGAATTCCACAAGTGAGGGGCCACCACCGAGAAYTCCCTGCTCCTCGTCCCAGCCAATCTCACTTGTGATAGAGGCGGGGTCGAGAGCAGGGCCTCCCCGGAAGATCTTAAACTCCGAGGTGGGACGTAGAGGGAGATGTGTTCYGACAGATACGCTGGGCCGGAACAGTATAGGGTTTTGTAGGTCAAACCAGTACTTTGAATTGTGCTATTGGGACTATATGCTTGAAGTCAAGATGACTAAACTGAGAATGTCATACTCTGGGCTTACTATGAGATGACATGACTCATTGGAAAAGACTTGGTAATGTCTTTTAGTGCTTGGTAGTGCTTGGTAATGTGGAAAGTAGTAACAAAAAGAAAAGAAAAAGAAAACTTGCACTACATTTGAACTGATTAAATAAAAAAAGCTTCAGTCCTACCTTTGCAAAACCTGAACAGGCCAATTGATAACTGACCAGAGCTGGGCTCCTAGAGCAAGGGTGACAAACTCATTTTCATTGAGGGCCACATCAGCCTTATGGTTTCCATCAAAGGTCCATTGAATCCATGGACAGAGAAGTGCTGGTTTTAGCCTATAAAGCTCTAAACTGCTCTGGCCCAGCTTACCTATCTCTCCCTATGAACCATCTAGGAATTTAAGGTCATCTGGGGAGGTCCTTCTCTCAATCCCGCCTTCTTTGCAGGTGTGTCTGGTGGGGACGAGGGACAGGGCCTTCTCAGTGGTGGCCCCTCGGCTGTGGAACTCCCTCTCTATGGATATTAGATCAGCCCTTTCCCTCCTGACCATCTGAAAATTTGAAGAAAATGGCACTCTCTAACTTGACGCCTTCCAAAGGTCTTGGGCAAATGGGCCCTTTGAACAAGCCTTTGGAAATGCAGTGCAATGGGCAACATGGAATTATGTAAGTTGAAACATGGAATGGCTTAGACGATGCTATTGGAAAATGAGATGAACAGGAAGACACTGATTAGTATATGTTTTTAATGGTTTTTGTATTGATTTTATAATGTTTTTTAAACATTTTAATTGTATGTTGTGGATTACTGTGGCACTGAATGGCTGCCAATTTGTAAGCCAACTTGAGTCCTAATGTTTTCTATCAGTAACACAGACTTGAGTGTGTGTGTGTGGGGGGGGGTGTCGGGGTGGAGTGACAGGGTATAAAATCAATCTCTTCTGTTCATTTGTCCTGTTAGGATAGACTTCAGACTTTCTTTTTGTGTCAAGGGCGACTTGAGAAACTGCAAGTCGCTTCTGGTGTGAGAGAATTGGCTGTCTGCAAGGATGTTGCCCAGGGATGCTTAGATGTTTGATGTTTTACTATCCTTGTGGGAGACTTCTCTCATGTCCCTGCATGGGGATCTGGAGCTGATAGAGGGAGCTCAACCTGCTCTCCCTGGACTCGAACCGCTGACCTGACCAGGGGCTTTATTAACTTCAGGCTAAGCAGAGGTTAGTAACGACTTCAGTTCACCTGCTGAATATGAACTTTGTTCCGCTTTTGGTATTAACAGTGTTTTGCCTATCTTGTACTTATTCTCCATGGTATTATGGGACAATTGGCTTTGGAAGGTGCTTTAAAAGAATTTATTAATTGGCTTTGTTAAACTCATTTAAACTTGCCTCAGAGGAAGGCAAGGGCAAATCCTTTTGAACAAATTCTGCCAAGAAAACCTTGTGATAGCTTTGCCTTAGGGTCATCATAACAGAACTTTATTTGAAAGTACAGAACAACACTGTTAATTATTTACCTCATTCGTATTTAATTGCATATAAATGGCATTTTGGCCACTTTGGGCAGGCTTGTGCAGTTATTGGTGAGCAGCCGCATCCATCTATTGGTGAAAGGTCTTTGGACTTGCCTTTTGAGTGCTGGGACTCAAGGATGGGAATGTTAGCAACATTTGAGATGAGATAGTCTGCATTTTTCCTTTAGGGCTCTGAGCTTGAGAAGGAGGTCAGCATGTAAGACCTCCTGGAAATGAGCTGGCTAGCATCAAGTAAAATTTATTGGTTTGTATCTCGAGCCTGCAGCCGATGGCCCTTGCCATACTGAAAAAAACGTAAATACATACCACCTTTGGAAAAAAAAATCAGTATGCAGCCCTGATGCAGATCAAGTTTAAATAGTCAATAAAGTGGCCCTTATTTATAAACGGTTCGGGCCCTGCCTATCTCCATGATCTCATCTCCCTCTATGAACTGGGGCGGACACTAAGATCCACCAGGGAGGCCCTCCTCTCGCTTCCACCACTGTCTCAAGCCTGGTTGGTGGGGACGAGGGAGAGGGCCTTCTCAGTGGTGCCCCCCTGCCTCTGAAACACCCTTCCCAATGAGATAAAGCTGGCCCCATCCCTCACCTCCTTCCGTAAGAACTTGAAGACTTGGTGGTTTCATCAGGCCTTCGATAATGTCTCAAGTCCTTGGTCCAACAGTTAGGACATGGCCTTGTACCCCATCCATTCCCCAGTTCCCGGTCATCTGAGGGCACCTTTTCTTCTGCCCCAGACCTTTATTATAGTCCTTTAATTGGCCCAAGAATTGAGTGGCCCCAGTCACCTAGTAGGGCCATTGCTGAGACCGATCCTTGAACTATAGTATTCAGTAAGCCCCATTTTTATCCTTCTCCTTGGCCCAGCCCGTTCCAAATAGTCCAGGCCCCTTATTGAAATCTTTGCCCCTGGCAGCTTAACTAGCATGAAGAAGAAAGCAGAACTGGTTTTAAATTGATTTTAATGTATATGTTGTGTTAACAGTTTATGCCTATGTCCTGTTTTGTATTGTATGTTTTTGTATTATTTTGAATATGTGGAAACCGCTCTGAGTCCCCTAGAGGAGATAGGGCGGTATACAAATAGATGATGATGATGATGATGATGATTATTATTATTATTCCATACATTTTTGTGTCTATTTTTTTCTTTTAATGGATTTGCATTCAGTATAATTTATTTGCCAAAGTTAGCTTCAGCAAAAAGCTCTTTTACTACTGAACAATTAAATACCACTTAAAATCAAAAGTAAAGTTTCAAAGAGCTCCTTTAGGTGCAATTAAGGGCAACCCTCATGCTATTTCACCACTGTGAGAACAGCAGCACTGGTTCAGATCTAAGTCTAAATTACCAGCATTAAAATATTATATTCACAAAGTGGCTTCACAATGTATGTATATCAGCTACTTGAGAACATGAAATACAAGTCCTGATGATGATTTCCCTGTATGTAACTATAACATTTGAGGTTAAGGCAATCGGTGGCTACTGATCAAGATGGCAATCAATCACTTCCAAAAGCCTGGAGATGATATATCACCAACTTGACAAGTAGCCACTAAGGTCTTAACCTCCTAGAATGTATCCTGTCCCCTTTTAAAGATGTTTGAGATGGCAAGCTTTCGAGTTGCTGAAGAACTGTACACAGAAATAGAGTCAGCACTCTACATTAGCTAGGGTTAGCGGGCACAAGACCACCATGAAAATGAAACAACATGAATAAAAAAAGTTGATCACAGAATTGCACTGAAGGCCCTGAAGATTCCTAAAGAGATATTATTTCTAGAAATCCCTGGCCATCCTTAGGCAGAAGGTGAACCTAGAGACTGGAGAACCTAGAGATTCCCAGAGAGCACAATTTAAGCAAATACATGAACAATCAAATCTGCAAAAGTCAAACTTGGAAGTGCAGTTGGATGGCCAATTGTATTTCCTTTTGTCTGTCCTGAACCTCCCACTATTCCATGGCTTCTACTAATTTAAAGTTATTGCGTTATGAAACTGAGCAAAAGGTTCTACATTAGGAAGGTTGGACTTGATGTCTCATGAAGTTCCTCCCAACTCCCATAGATCCTGGCCATGATAAGAATCAATCAATCATCTGGATACAGTGATGACAGGAAAGCACTCTTCAAGAATCCCATGTTTATTAGTTCAGTTTCCAGATAGTTTCTAATGCTTTCTAATGCTTCAGACTCCATTTCCTGGCAATATAACTATCTGCAGGCGCTTCTGAAGAAAATTTTACAAATTGAATGCCAAGAAGACAGAATTAGCTTGCCACCATTTCGAAAGGCAGGCATGCTCTTTGAAGGCTAACTTGTTGTTTCTGGAGTTCAAAGCTAGCTTTCAAATACAGAATTTGTACTAAAGTGTACTTTTAGAAAAAAGGGCAGGGAGTCGGCAATAACAACAAAAACCAACAACAACTTTATTTTTATACCCCGCCTCCATCTGCCCTAAGGAACTTGGGGCGGCTTACAAAGGAGCAAGCCCAGGGAGCACAAAGTTAAAAATATAACACAATAAATTAGCATCAAAACACAACCAAATAAAAACATATCAGAATTAAACATATCATCATAAAAACAGTACCATACAGAACGATAAAAGTGCGGAGTTCAGATCACCAATATAACTGAACTCTATTAAATTCTATGAGTACCCTCCACCCCCACAATATGACAAATGGGCAAGGATTACAGAAATTGAAGTCCATCAACATCTAGAGGTCTACACATGCCTCACTGTTGTCTTATAGTAGGAAAGGTGAATTCATGTTCATGCAGAGGCTGTTAGATTATTTCAGCTTCCGCAGTCTGCATGGCCAATACTCAAAGCTAATGCCTGCTTTAGTCCAGCAACATCTCTTTTTATAGAGTACAGACCATCAATGTCAATTAGACCATATTCATGGGCAGCTGAGGGGGAGAAAAGAGGAAGGGAGATTTGTCTTTTTGCCTTGTTTGTGAGCTGCTTATTGGGTCACCATAGGATTTGGCATCACATGCAGCCTTGGTCTGATGCAGCAGAACCCTTATTACATCATGCACAGAAAGACAAATTTTGGCACACAGAAAAAAACTTGTAATATTATAAAAAGTTACAGATTGAATTGTCAAGGCCAGGATAAAATGTTCTGTATTAAAGTGTTGCTGATGCTGCTTCTGTTTTCCTTGGGTGGCTGCCTTTCTAATCCATTCTCCTAAGCAGCAGAATGGAACCAAATGGGAAAACAAGGTTTACTCAGCCAGCTGTTGTAATGGAGACAGAGCTATACATATTCCAGTCTCAGATGCTCACAAAAGACAGGACCCAAAGGCACCAAGATCAAAGTAATGGGTAGATTTGCATAGCTATTTTCCTCCCTTTCCATTATGAATGTTACCCTTGTCTTAAGAACACCAGAAACTGGTGTCTCAAACAATCCATGACATGCTTGGCTCTTAGCCCAGTACACAAAGGAAGAAAAGTCAGTCTGTTGCAGTGGCTATCCCAGGGCTTGATAGAAGGTAGAACTGGACTTGCTGGATGATTTGTAATAGATCAGCAAGACTTTCTGATTCCCAAATGTTTAGCAACAGCAATGATATTGTCAATGAGAAAATCCTCCTACCACTTTCACCCAAAATTATACTGCGGAAGTGTGTGTGTGTAGGGTGTGGTGTGGTTGGGGGAATCTAATATAGCCAATAGTGAACTCTCTAGAAGACTGTCAGCTCTATTTAAGTTATGCTACTCAAAAGAAATTGCTAGGGTCATGATTCTTGAATTCTAGAACCCTTATCATGCCATTCTTATAATGCTATATTCCACTTCAACTGTGAAAATTTGGGTTTTGTAGTTTAGTGAGGCCTAAAAGCTCCCTGGCTGAGAATTCTAAATGCCTCCCCAAACTTTCAAATCCTAGGGTTCCAAAGGATGTTGCAAGAGCAGTTAAAAGTGATATTTAGTAGTATAACAATGTAATGTGATATGTGACTAAGTGTATATATTATGTACTTGTCTCTATCTTTGATTTGGTAATCTTTCCTTGCTCAGTCTCTCTTCTTATCTATATTAGTGAGGACTGGACAGAAGCAGAACTCAAAGAATTATCACAAAACAAATAGTACTATTGGTGATTTTTTCATGACAGGAACGACTTGAGAAACTGCAAGTCGCTTCTGGTGTGAGAGAACTGGCCATCTGCAAAGATGTTGCCCAGGGGATGCGTGGATGTTTTAACATCCTTGCAGGAGGCTTCTTTCATGTCGCCGCATGGGGAGCTGGAGCTGACAGAGAAAGCTCCTCCATACTCTCCTTGGATTCGAACCACTGACCTGTCAGTCAGCAATCCTGCCAGCACAAAGTTTAACCAGTTGTGCCACTGGGGGCTCCAGTGATGCTATGATGGAGCAAAAAGGGCATTGCCTCCAAATAATAAATCCCTCCTCCACACACACACACTCCAAAATAACATCAAGGGAATATGAACATAGAGGGAGGGGAGAGTTCTATGTATGTATGACTGATTTTCAGTATCTCACTCTTTGCAATGTTTGACATTTGGGGAAAGAAGGACAATTTCATGGGATGGCTGGCACAATTCATATTTAGAGGGCAACTGTTTCATTTTACTCCCCACTGCCGTAGCTGCACTTCCAGAAAAAAACAAGGGACCTGTTAATGTATATGACTTAAAACTATTTACTGAAATAGTTGAAAGAGATGAATACTGTTATGCAAGTTCTTACCAGCCTGAGATAATTTTGCAATGTCTGAAGACGGATTGTGGATGCATAACTCACACTGTGCAGACAGCCTTCTGGGGGACCTTTAAGAGAAAAAAAAGAGTCAATGGGAACAATCTTAAATTCTGGAAAAGTTGAATGTGGAACTACATGTTACATTTAAGGTTGTTTATCTTATATTTATGGCAGTTGAATGGGATGGATTGTTATTACAATCAAAGCACAAAGGAAGGGAAAGGTTATCCCTAGCATCCCTAGTCATACCTCATAAATCTCTCTCTGCCCTGACCCTACAACTCAGTATCACTAGTTTCTCTGGGAGAGAGAATCATAGAATCATAAGAGTTGGAAGAATCCTCATGGGCCATCCAGTCCAACCCTCTGCCAAGAAGCAGGGAAATTGAATTCAAAGCACCCTCAACAGATGGGGGTGTTTTGAATAATTGTCAACTTTGCCTGGAGTTGACAATTATAGAAAATAAAATTGTGCAACAGCAACACTCTGTGCAGCTTCCAGAGTGAAGGTGGGCAATCTTTGGTTCTCAAAGTTTTTGACTGTTACTCCCACAGTAATCTAGTACTGGATTTGAAAGAAATTGGAGATCAAAACTTCTGGAGGGCAAAAGGTTGGATCCAGTATGTTCAAGGTTCTTTGCATGCCTTAGTTTAGTTGTCCGTACAATATCAAGTAGACCTGTATCATTATATAGTAGAGTCTCACTTATTCAACCTTCTCTCATCCAATGTTCTGTAGTATCCAACGCAGTCTGCCTCCCACCTGTAGACACAACTGTTTCAATACATTGTGATATTTGGTGCTAAATTCGTAAATACAGTAATTACTAAATAACGTTACCATGTATTGAATGGCTTTTTCTGTCGATTTGTTGTAAAACATGATGTCTTGGTGCTTAATTTGTAAAATCATATCATAATTTGATGTTTAATAGGCTTTTCCTTAATCCCTCTTTATTATCCAACATTTTCACTTATTCAACATTGTGCCGGCCAATTTATGTTGGATAAGCAAGACTCTACTGCACCAACAATCAACTCTAATATTCAATGCCAAAAGAGGAGGAAATAAATGCACGTACCAAGCAAATATATGACTATATGTTCCACCTGGTTCCTTTTCAAAAACTCCCAGGGTAGTTGGGGAAATGTCTGACCCACTGACCATGAAATATTGCCTGTTAAATAGACAAAAAGGAGATCAGTGATGCTTGGACAGACAGAAAAAAATGATAATACATTTTTCCCATTTTATGATTCAGGAGTGATACAGGACAAACCCTCTCCCATGTGTCTGACAAGCAAGCCTTTGCAGGTATTTCAGGTTGAGCATCTCTTATCTTGAATTCCAAAATCTGAAATACTCCAAAATCCAAAATGTCCACATGGTTTGCTGAGATAGTGACACCTTTGCTTTCTGGTGATTTGATGTCCACAAATGTTTCATGCACACAATTATTAAAATATTGTGAATAAAATTTCAAATATAGGTTGAGTATCCCTTAAGCCAAATGCTTGAGACCAAAAATGTTTTGGATGCTGGATTTAGTAACGATTTTGCAATGCCAGTATATCAGCATGTCTAAAATTGACCTTAGTAATGTATTAGTAGAGGGCAGGCTTTGGGACCAACGTTATGGATTTTGACCATGGTTAAGTTGAGGATCATTTCATGGAGAGGAAAAAGGAGCTTGTTGCACTTTGCCCCCAGTGCCATCCCCCCCCCCCAGACATTTTTAAAAGGCCAGAAACAACATTGAGATTAATGGTGTCTTTGGGTTCTCCCAGAGTGGAGTAAGCTCTAGCCTTTTGCCACTCCACTGAGAAAAGAGGAAGGTTTCTTTTTTGATAAAAGTTAAGATACAATACTTACACTGACCCATAGTTAAGTTGACCTAGGTTTTAGGGGTTACTTTTTGACAAAAAATTAGACTTAAACATGACTATATACAGTTCCTGTTAGAGGTGTGCAATTTGGCCAAAAGGCATGCAGTTTTGGGGTCCATTTTCAGTTAACCCTCCATTCTGTTTACCAGGAAATTATTCGAATTGGGAAAAGTGTTGCTGTTTTCATTCGGCAAAGATTGAGCCCATTAGCTACAATGGGAAATTATAAAGGTTCAATCCTCAGTCATTTTAAGGTCTATCTGCATGAAACCTACCTCAGGTTTAGACCACATGTACAACTTCATGCCTACCAAGTTTCAGAACAATTCACTAATCTACTAATTTTAAAGAATTATTTTAAGTTTTTATCATAACATTTTTTAAAATGAGAAAAACCACAAGAGAGGGTTCTGGGAACTGTAGTTGCCGGTTGTGTCCATTCTCAGCCACTCAGAGCATGGACACAACCATGCCTTTTATTGGCTGAGAAACACAGAGGGAGAAAGACTTCAACTCCCATCGTGTTCCAAGAGACTTTTCAATGCCCACCCCATGCAAGTGCTGCTGGGAAAGTGAGTTCCCAGCAGGACCTTCTCTGAAGGAGGAGCCTGGGAACTTTTCTGCTGCCAGGGAGGGAGAAAAGATGCTGCAGGATCTTCTCTAGGAGCCCTGCGGCAGATATCTGCCTCAGGTATAATGAAGACTTAACTCCATCCTCTCCAGTAGCCGAAATATCCTGCTCTCTTGATCCGTTTTGCCAAGCTTTTCGGTTCCCTCCTCCCCATTCTGTTTTTGGGGGATTACACAAAACAGACCACCGAATATTACAGATCACTTTCGGTCAAACTGATTTGAGCCTAAGCCTAGTCCCTGTGTATGTGCATAATGAGAAATCTTAGAGATAGGAGTCTAAAAATGAAATGTATTTATGTCTCATATGCAGCTTATACACATAGCCTGAAGGTAATTTTATAAAGCATTTAAAATAATTTTGGGCTTAGGCAGAATTTCAAGTATATTGTTGTTTATATGTGAATACAATTTTATATTCTACCAGTGCATTGCAAAATGAATATTCGGTTCAGACTAATAGCTGCTGTAAGCAGTACTGAACATGCTGAACTAAGTTACTTGCTACATGTCATGTAACTTTTTAGAAAAAACATGAGGAACTTTTCATTTTTCTATAAAATAAGAGTGTTGATAGGTACCAAGTTTGATGGATAATATACTGTTTGCAGTGAGGCCGATGCTAGATTCTGTGGTGCTATTAAGTGTCAAGTCTTCTAGGCTTCTCCATTCATCAGAGGCGATTGCTTGGAAATGGTTTGTCACCGCCTGACTCACTGCTTTTGAAAAATCATCCCAGGTTGTCTGCTTTCGGATGTTTAACACACATATGGTATTTTCCATTTCGTGATCCTCTGTTGCAGAGTAGGCTGGTTCTACCTGGCTAACTGCAATCCGCAATGGCATTTTGAGAGCATCTGTTTAAATAGAAGTGAAAAGCTTGAATATAGCAACTTGGGCACACAGTGACACAGTTACTAAAAATACCAAAAAAAGAAAAAAGATGAACACTATTTACTGCTACAGCTTCAAAGCAATGCACAGTCCCTTGGTACAACAGTTAGACCAGGATATAAACCCAACATTTTAAAAATAACAATAACAACAAAGATTAAATTGCTTATAAAATAAAATGATCATTGTAACTTCTTAAATATTTTAACAGTAGATAAAAAACTCTCATTCCACAGATATTTGAAAATGACTTCAAATGTGACAAATTCAATCATTCATATGCATAAAACACATTAATTTAGGAAACAGGCTGAAGACTGTAGCTACATCATGGTCACTATCAATGTTCTACACAATGTTCTGATGTATTTTATTACACAGTTTGAAGATGTGGTTTTGGTCACCAACAAATGGGCCTGGTGTTGAACTGCTATTGAGGCAACAGAAACATCTTAGATCCCTTCTTGGAAGTTTGGTCTATTCCATTCAAAAATATACTTTGTTGAGTCAAAGAGATGGAAGGACGTTTGAAGGACATCTAGTCTACAGCTTTGTTTGATGGAGGATCCACAATGCAGGATGCAACTACAGCATCCCTGACAAATGACTATCCAGTTGTCTAACTGCCACTTAGGATTTATTGCTCACCCTCTCTCAGACTTTTATACTGTTAATCAGCTTTCACTGTTAGGAAATTTCCCTGCAAGTTGCACTGAAGATTTTAAGTCTGCTGGCTGAAACAAAGGAACACAGGTCTGTTCCATCTTCAGAGAACTGAAGATCTGCTATTGGGTTTCTTCAGATACCTCTCTTCTTCAGGGTAAACATATTCAGCTATGTCAACTGTTCTTAATGACACTTGAATTCCAGATCACTCGACAATCCTGGTATATTTTTGTGGCTGCTCCTAACTTTTAAAAAATGTAGTCCACAAAATTGGATGCAGTATTTTAGATGGGGTAAACCTAGTTGGAAATGGAAAGGCACCATCTTATAGTTATTTCTGCAGTGCTAGTGATTGCAAACTTGTCTGCTTTAACTGTTCAGATAAACACATGATATCTCAGTACACAAACTATTCCATACAGATTCTTCACATAACACTCATGAACAAAGGGGTGTAATGGAAAAAAAATAGAATTCACATTAACTGAATCCTGCCTGTCAAACACTACTGATTCTTATGCTGGACTCAGGGAGTAGAGTGATGTTGTCTGCTTCTTTTCAAAAGTGTTTTATATACTTTAAAAACATTACAAATCCTATTTTTAATCTTTTACTATGGGTGATGAGTTTTTTCTGCTTTCCCTCATAATATTTCTAGTTTCTATCCCTCCCCCCCCCCCATATTATTTGCCTTCTTGAATAAAGAAAACATAGAGAGAGTTTGCTCCTGACTTGTGTGTGTCAGTGTACATATGACGATGCTTCAGGAATATTTGGATTAAATCACAAGTTCCACATAGTAAATGATCCTTCTTGCAGGAGTTATTCAGCCTATGCATACAATAAGGTGCAAACAGAATGCCTTTGTGCTCTATGTGGAGCAGAATACTAAAGTAGAGTACATAAAAATTAAACACAACCAATGTTCTTAAAACATGCTGTAGGAGTAAAATAATGTCCACTATGTTGTTGTAGGTTTTTCGGGCTGTATGGCCATATTCTAGAAGCATTCTCTCCTAAAAACCTACAACAACCCAGTGATTCCGGCCATGAAAGCCTTCGACAATACATTGAACATCTCTATGGGGAGAAACTGTTCCAAGTCTAGTTTCCAACAAACCTCACAACCTCTGAGGATGCTTGCCACAGATGCAGGAGAAATGTCAGGAGAGAATGCTTCTAAAACATGGCCATACAGCCCGAAAAACCTGCAACAACCCAGTGATTCTGGCCATGAAAGTCTTTGACAATACAATGTCCGCTATTTCTGGTCATTTCTTACAAAACTGCTGTGGTCCAACAAAAACAAGGAAGCTGAATCCAACACATCCTACTAAGTCAATAAGTCAAAGGGTCATTTATAATTATAAGAGTGTATAGATGTAACTGCGTAGCTCTGGCATTGAAAGCCTTGCAGGTCAGATCTAATGACATGGAGGACAGGATTTGGCCCCTCGGCCTTGCATTTGACATGTGTTCTATAAGTCAGAAAATATGAAAATTATATGGAGAAACATATAAGTGTTTGTTTCCATTTGCTGTCATTTTACCAGATATGATAGGATTCTAAATGCCCATGACTTCAAATTGTACTTTATGGGGACAAGTACGGGACTACAGCTCTCCAAATCTTCCAGCCAGAATGGTTGGTGGTGACTCTCACAGGAGATCCTGGAAATTTTACAGTTCCAAAAGTAACCTTTTCCAAGCTGTACAAAGATTAACCTCTATAAGCTGCATGTTGCACTGAAGTCACCCATGAGCTGCAAGTCCCACTCTCCCTACTTTTGTAAGGAAAGGCAAGACAAGTACGTAGTTGAAAATGCCAAACTAGGATTGCTAGAGGAGATGTAGTGGATAGAGTTTAAATGCTGTTCCTTGACCGACGTAAAAAGAGTACAGCTCAATGAATGCTTCCATTTAAAGTTCTACATGAGATCCAACCCTGGGGACCCATCCATCTGGTACTAATTTAGGGCTCAAGATGTGCTGCTTCAGCATATTTGATATCCAAATGGGGCAGGGAGAAACTCATCTTGATGCCCTGCCAAACCACAGAACTGAACAGACCACTGTGAGGCTAGTGTTCATATGAATTTGGTATGGTGGGCTTCCCGTTTTAGCATAAGGGCACCCCCTGGGGGAGGGAGAAGTACCTGCCTTTGCACAAACACCTATCATATGAATCACACTTTCAGCTGAGAGCTGGTATTACTGTACAAACTGGCAGCAAGCCACCAAGTGGAATGGGCCTATCAATGTCATTTAGAGCATAAGGCAAGAGAAGTGTGTTTTATATTCCAGCTCATTGTGATCTCAACAGGAAGACCTTCGGCAAAGCTCAGTGTATGATATCTGGCTCTGGTCTGTTAAATGGGAATAATTAGATCAGGCATCCCATAAGATCATTTTACCAATGAAACAAATATTGGGAAAATTAAATAATAACAGTGATTCATATGATCACTTCCACTGAAGTAAATTGAATTTAATGAGACATCACAAAAGAACAAAAGTGATTACTGAAATGATCCCAGAATAGACCAATGATTTAAATGTAATGAATAATCAAAACTGCTAAGTCACTTGATTTTTTTTTTAAAAAAATCTGTATTATACAGTGAGGCCTTGGTATTTGCAGGGGTTTTTGTTCCATGCTCCTGTGAATAATGCAAACAGCTCTGACCATAAGAGTAAGAGCATTGCACTTTAGACTGGTGTGCCATTGGGGAGCCATAGGACCCATATGGCCCCGGACTTTGGCCCCGAGAGGACCAAGACAGCTGACCTGGGGAAGGACTCCTTGATCTCGAATGCCAGGAGCCACGTGAAGCAGAGGAGCAGCAGGAAGGAGCCCTCCACACGTGGCTTGACTCGCACACCGACAGAGTGGCTGGGAGAAGCAGGCTTGGTGTTTGGCCCATAGGGCCAAGTGTCCACTGCACTGCCGAAGCAGGCAAGCCTGAAGAGGGCTGTGTGTGGTAGATGGCTGGGGCATGAGCTACGGAGAAGGGAGGGAAGCCCTGCCTGCACTTCTGGGTGATGCTGGAAGTGCCTGTTGTGCCTGCTCTTCCAGGAGAGTTTGGGGCAGGCCGGAGGAAGAAGATGCCAGCAGCAAGGCCTGCTCCGAAGGAGGAGGCTGCTGTGCCAGTGAAGCACGCTGGCAGCAAGGCGATGATGAATGCAGACGAAGCCGGGAGTTAGAAATGCCACATGTCTTTTGCTTCTTCTTCCCTCCTTTCTTTCCAGGTGAGGGAGTCCGTGCATACACACCCTTTCTTTTAGAGGTGGTTGGCTGACTGGCAACATAGGCTTGCAAAGTCTCATGGGGTTTTGAGATCGCTTGGCGCCCATGGGAACTAGAGGGGAGAAGAGCTTTTTCATAAAGCAAGGTTTTAAGTTGAAGCTCTCTGCTCTTCCTTGCCTAGGGTGTAAAAGCCTTACAGGCAGAGCAAGTTTGTACTGAATGTGCCTTCCCCAAACAAAGCACACACATAGTGTGGCCATATGTGTCAGGGAGTTTCTTCCCACAAGACACACATTTCTTAAGCATTAGAGAAGCCATAATATACAGACCAGGTCCAGGGTGCCAGAGAGTAGAGTAGTCAATAAGCCAGTCCAAGTCAGGGTAGGAGAGAGAAGAGTAATCCAAAAAACAGTCCAAAGTCGTAAGGTAAGTTTGTAAATTCAGAGAGATTCCTAAATGCTGCTGCAAAGGCAGCTGGAAAAAAGGAACTAAAGCTACAGCCCCTCCCACAGGATATATGCCTTCTGGGGAAGAGGGGTGGGGTGCAGCCACAAGCCTTTTCAGCTTTTCAGAGGTTTCCAGTGATTGCTGCACAGGTGCATCAACTATCACATTTGCTTATTTCAGCAGACACCACGAAAGAGAAAAATGGCTTGCAGAGTTTGTTGCCCCACTGAATACTCAGTGGGACATCATAGAGGGCTAGTATGGGGAAGACAATATATGAAAATTCGTTACAGTAGAAAAGGTTGTCTGTAACAATGTATATTTTGAAAAATGCAGACAAAAAGCCATATAATTATTAGGAGAAATGTGTAAGCATAGATTCTTCACTCTATTTTTCGACATAGTTGCCAAGTTTGCCAAATTATCATACCTCTGAACCAATTTTAAAATACCCTCTTCATAAAAACTTGCCGCCTGCTTCGATAACCAAGAGTTGACTGTAATCAAAGAAGGGTGACCGGAGCGGTCCTCATCATGGACGTTGTCACGGCCATCTTTGAATTATCGTACCCACTTACGCACTTTGCTTTCACTCATAACAGTATCACCGTACACTTCACAAATCTGTCGATGAATTTCTGCAGCAGGCAGGTTCCTTGCTGACAAAAACCGTATCACTGAGCGAACCTCACATGCGGCGGGTGAGTTGATAGTCTTAAACATTTTTAAAGCATAGAACAGAACCGTACTGACAACAAAGCCACCAATTGCCGCTGATACCCACACATCCACGAGTGGAATGGCAAATAAGCAAAATACAACTTGCTAATAATACATAATTTCTATTAACAGACTTTTTGACAACAGATGGGGATTGCATTGAATTTACAGATTTTATGAAAATGTTGACATATGCATGACAGCTCTGTTACTCACTCAGATTTTCTAGAAGATGCTTGCAGTCGTCAGTAGCAACGTCATGCACTGTTCGGTTGCATCTGTCTTTCCTCTCGGCCTCCAGTCCCCCGTGGCTACACAAGACTTCTAGGCAGCTCTGGGAAGATAATAACTACATTACTTGAAGCTTCCAAGGAATTAACTTGAGCTGAAATTAACCTGACTGAACCATTTATTGCCTGAGGCAGATAGGTCTGAATTCTGCTTTTAGAATATCAATTTCACTCTTTAAAATATGCTCTTCCAAACACTGGGGGTGAGATGGAGGGAGCTATTACGAAAATTGGTTTTCTGTTAGGAACCATTCTGTCTGTGAGACTTGTTACGTGATGTTTTTCTAATGCAGATTCCATAAATGGACACATTTTGAAATGCAGATGTGTGAAACAGAAATGTGGGTGCTAAGATTAACAACTAGCATGTCTAGTCCATGGTGTGACCTGCATATTGTGTAATGTGCACATCAAACAGTATGGCAATTCCTCCGTATCCCTTGTGTTGTACCTTAGCTCTCATTATCCCCAGCCAGAAATACTCATATTTGAATGGCTTGCATTTTAATAATCTTTACAGTCATTGGAAACAAATACACTGGCCATTGAAAGTAATTCCACTGGGAGAGATCAGCAAATTGACTCTCCAAGCTGCCAGGAATTATTGCTTGCCATTTGTCATCATACACATTGTATACGCATAGGCCTGGCTTATTTCCATTGTTACGATTGGAGATATTTGTTTATAATCTATGTTATGAATTCTTGGAATTTCATTTTGGCCTGCATTTCTGTGATCATTTGTGCTTCTTCACTCGATGCCTGTATGAACTGTTGGTATTTACATTTTTTTATCTGTTTGCAATATTATATATTGTTTCTACCATTTGTCTGGAGTGATTCAATAATTTATCACAATCCTGTTTGGTATGTATGGGAGTTGGAGTGCAACGCATCTGAAAAGCAGCAGGTTGTGGAATGCTGATGTAAAATCTTTTAATAGCATGCATATGTAGACAGAATATACCAAGAAGCTCTCAGATCTGAACAGAAGATTAATTATTTCCACTTCTTAAGGGAGTCTCTTTAGAGCTCATTTAAGAGGAGGGGGAATTACTGGGTTACAGTCACGAATCTCCCTTTCAAAGTCCTAGTGCCATTTAAAGAAATTTAAAGAATCTATATTTATGCATTTAATAGGCACCTGAACTATGCTCACATGGGCAGCTTCCTACTGTTGACACAGACACTCACTGCTGTCTTATATGCAAAATAGGTTTGAATTCCTACTTGGCTATGGAATGCACTGGCTATAGGTGACCTTGGGCAAGGCATATTCCTTTAGATTCAGAGGAATACAACCTCTTCTGAACAAATATTGTTAACACAAACCAATTCGAAGGCATGTGACAACAGAGAAGCAGAATATTCTGTTGGTGGACTTCTTTTTAAAAATCTTTTTAATTATTTTATCATAGTTCAATACATTTATTATACATTGTTTATTTGACAACAGATACATATTATTCAATACAACCTACCATACTTTAACTTTTGGCATCTACTGTTATTTTTCTGCTTATACATATTATCTATCTCTCACCACTGTGTTCCCCTCCTCTCCGCCCAAGCCACAGATTTTACACATTATCTGTCTAAAATGTCAATTGTTCTTGTGGAGGTAACTTTCCTTCTTTCTTGTTAAATCCTTTTCCAATAAATTTTCTCCATACATCATCGAAATCACTTTGTTTCCATATACCTCTTTTAACTTTTAGTATACATGTCAGCTTATCATTTATTGCCAATTTCCATACTTCCTTGTACCACTCCTTTATTTGTATATTTATTTCTCTTTTCCAATTCCTTGCTATAGGCCGTCTTGCTATTGTTAATAAGTTTGTTATCATATCTTTATCCTCTTTTTTCAATTGTTTATTATTATATAATGATAATAAAGCTATACTAGGACTTCTTTCTATTTTAATGTTCATTATATCCTCTATCCGTTGGTGGACTTCTGTTGGTGGAACAGCAGAATCCATCAGATTTGGGAGGTGTGATCACCCCTCCCACCTCCAAACTAGAATATTGGGTTTAAATGTAAGCTTCCATTCTTGGGCGTTCTTTACCAGAGGCATTATTTATGGTTCCAACTGTACATTACAGCACCAGGTGGGGTTGCTGTGAAATCATACACTACAAGATTTACGGAAAGATCCAACATTTTGTTCCCAACACTGTCATGCTTCATTTCTAATGGTAATCAGCCAGAACATTTCTGTGATGGCTTCTTAAGAAGCTAAGAAGCACAACATGGTGGTGATTCAAGTTTACCTTTTTATTTTATTTTATTTGCCTGTCAACTGAACATAAACTCCTACCCCAAATTCTGAAATGTGTGTAATTCTTTTTATAGCATCCAGATCTCAATCTGCATATTCACCTTGGAGTATAGGTTCTACCACAATGCTCTTTCTTATGTTTAGGCTCCATGCTGTGCTGAACGTTTCATATCACTTTGGCACTACCTATTACCATCAGTACCCTGATGGAGCTTATGCTTATGTGCTACTACCATAACCGGTTATTTGCAATGACAGGTGATCAGTTTGTGGTAATAAGAGTTTTAACATATGGGCTGCAAGAGAATTAAAGGTAATTTATGACCTCTGTTATTGAATTTGGAAGGTGAACCATGAAAAATAGCACTGCCACAGGTTGTTCCTAATTCCTATGGAAAATAATTTCTGACAAATGGATGATCTCAAGTTTTACTGCAGATACAGTAGAATAATTAAAAGATTTTTTTAAAAAAATCCTTCATATTTGTATAAGTTTCTTTAGTAGAGCAGAAGCCTATTGTTTTATAAAGCCATTGATGAATGTTTAAGTCTTGAATCTCTCTCTCTCTCTCTCTTTCTCTCTCCCCCCCCTGTGCTGTGCAACCATGCTTAATCTTGATCCCATGTTGTGTTAAAACAATTTAACAGACAGACTGACCTTAAAACCTTTTGAAGCTGCTATATGGGCTGCAGTCCAGCCCTCTTTGTCAGCATGGTTGATGAGATCTGCAGAAACCATGGTCCTTGCTTTGTGGTTAAAGCTGTCTCCATCACACTCCATGTCAAAGATGTAAGAATTAGCCTCTCCATCACTCGTGACATTTCCATATTCTGGCTTTCCACAGCACATAAGATATCTTAAACAGTCGACATTATCAGCATCTACAGCAGCATGAAATGGTGTCCAGCCATCCTACAGGAATGGAATTTTTTGTAAAGGAATCAAACAAGCCCAGCTGTTGTGACAGTGGAGAAAGGCAAGAGACGGAAATAATGAATGGATTACTGCTTTTAGAATGACAGGGTCTAGAAATGTAGGTAAAATGAGCTGCATGAAACCAAATCACATATAAACCTTGAAATAGAAAGCTGATGTGACCATTACTGGATCCTTGTCAGGTGTCTGATGTTATGAGCTATTCTGTACTGCTTTATATAGGCACACTTGATCTCTTTGGCTCTAAACAGTGTTAAATCTTTCCTACATTAGCATAACAAAGTGAATGCAGCTGCTCTGGAATAACATTTTCAAATTTTAATTTTCTTTGGATGTATTTATTTTAAACAGCAAGCATCTAAACTCGTATCTTTCTGTATTTCTATTCCCCACTCCCAATTATCATTATGTTTCAGCTGACTGGACAGGTTGTTGCCTTCATTTTGATGACAAATTCTAAGCTTGTGCCTTATTTTTATATGGCCTCTTTTTAAAAGAAGAAAAAGCAGCAGGCTCCAATACTCGACTTGTCTTCCAAATTCAGTGACTGGGAAACAGGTAGAGTATTAGACTTTTTTCTCAGTCACAGAATTTGGAAAAGTTACTACAGCTTTCAGAAGCAGCATGAACATTGTTTATGGTGGCTTTGGGATTCTGAGAGTTATTGTCCCAAAAGAATCTTTTTTAAAAAAAAATCCAATAGTGGGAATAAAAAGTTGTGATTGATACTCAACATTCATAGGAAAATATTGGAAAAAAGAACATATAGATTTAAAAAACCCTGGTAAGTACATTTAAATTTCCTGCTGAATCTCGTAACTTTTGACTAGTGTGGAGCAACAGTCATACAGCTTTCAAAATAAATCCTTTTTAAAGCTAATAAAATTTTGAAAGGTACCTCCTGCTGTCACTGGTAAGAACGATAATAACCAACAGCAATAATAATAATAATAATAATAATAATAATAATAATAATAACCTCACAATCGTGTTAAAAACAAAGTATGGATCATTGATGTCGCAATCCCAGGTGACAGCAGGATTGCAGAGAAACAACTGGAAAAGCTGACACGATATGAGGATTTAAAAATCGAACTGTAAAGACTCTGGCACAAACCAGTAAAGGTGGTCCCAGTGGTGATCAGCACACTGGGTGCAGTTCCCTAAAGACCTTGGCCTGCACTTAAACACAATCGGCGCTGACAAAATTACCATCTGCCAGCTGCAGAAGGCCACCTTACTGGGATCTGCACGCATTATTTAATAATAATAATAATAATAATAATTTAATTATCTGACTGTCTGAGGTCTTATGGATCCTATATCAGTTATCTGACATACCTGTTTTACTCTACCTAATAATAGGTGAAGGTCTATGAAGACTATGATGGAATATGGCCACAAAATCTTGTGCAAATTGAGTTGCTGACTGTTATGTGACCTAGCATCACCTTACAGGGGAGTGATAATAAGGCAGAATAAGGTAATTACAAAAAAAGGGCATTTGCTTAAGCCAACCACCAGTAGTAGGGAAATGGGTATAGATGAAAAGAATTGAGGCAAATTATTTCAACACAAAGCCATAAAAGACCTTTCATAAATGAAGCAATGTTTCTATGAAATACACTGCATCCACCTGAATCAGCATTTTGGAAGAATGCACTCTGAGTCATGGCTGTTAAAAAATAGATTTTCCATGAGTTTTCCAATTTAGCACTTATTGATCAATGGCTCAAAAACCGAGCTACTCACTCATAGTTAATTTAATGTAGGTTTATTGGACTGCAGTCCTATAAATGTTTACTTGGAAGTGAATGTAATTGTTTTCAGTAAGATTTACTCTTAAGTAAGTCTGAATAAGACTGCAGTTTTAAGATCTATATATCAAATTATGTGGGATGAAACCTGGCTAAAGTCAATGAGATTTACTTCTGAATAGGCACATATTGGCTAGGATCCTATTGGTGATATGCATCTGTGTAACCCCTGGGTATGCCACCAAGTGTATGTAATTTTGGGGAGGTCATGGAAGAAAGGTAAATATTCCTTATCTGAAATGCTTGGGAACAGAAGTGTTTTTGATTTTTTTTGTTTACCTGTATTTGCATATATACATAAATGCAGTGCAGTCTTATTGCAAGGGCGTATTTTATTTATCTAAATGAACAAGGGCAGCATGGCCATATCTGATCATATCCCAGCAGGCAATCAGTGGATGGGGGGACAGAACCACAGTGGACACCCTGCCCCCCTCCCCTTGTTGATATTGTAGCACGAACCAGAGAAGAAAAACAGGATTTGCTCTCTGATCAAATAACATAAGTACAATGGTAAAAACTTTGTCTCTGCCAGTCTGCTATATGGATCTCAGCTGTTGAACTGTCTTGTCAAAGTGGTACAAGTGTCTTTAAGAAAGTAAGGAAAAAAATTGTCTCCCATTGTGCCAGAAAACAAAATTTCAAGCACACTGGAACTTCTCTGCATTACAGAGTCTATAATGCTTTCAATATGAAGTATTTACACAACACAGAACCTCCAGGCTATATGCCATAGTTTAGCTTACCAGCTACATGAAAAAGACATGAAAAAGACCTGTTTTTGTAGCCCACCTGGGATCACACAGGCATAAGGTTTATCAAGCACTTGGCAGCTTGTAGTATATGGCTGGTGCGTTGTGAACAGCCTGGAGCCACATGTTGCGCAGGTCTGAGATATCACTTCCAAAAACAATCAAATCCCTCTTGTGAAAGAGAGATAAGATTAGGAATCTTTGCTCACTAAATTCTACAAGGAATGGAGGGCATATTTCTAAAGTGTTTCTAAATGTGATATTTCACAAAATATACAAATGTGAAAACTTTGATGATGGTTGCATTTGTAAAGTTAAGGTTTTTGGTTTTATGCAGTCGAACTGGGAACTCTAAAGTCTTTATTGTAGAGCTGAAATGATAAATGTGTGGCCCTCCAGACTTTGATGGACTGTACCCTCCTATCAGGCCTAGATTGGCTAGGGCTGATGGAAATGAACAACCATCATCACAGGGACCTTATGTTCTCCACCTCCAATACACAGCCTATTCTCTTCCTTGTTTACTATTTTTATTTCCAGTTCACTCTTGTTCTGCTTTCAGCTGTGATGATAACTCTACAGGGATTCCACAATATTCCTTGGTGAACAACTTTGGATTATGTAAGAAAAACATTGCAGTAGCAGACTAAGAATAGATGTGATTCAATAGATTCACTCAGGCACCTATCACATGAGACTGGCATACCGCAATAATAAGGAGGACAATGCTTTTGCTTTCAACTTATCACATAATGTTCTTGTGGATCTCCCGGTGGGAAATAACCTGTAAAGTGTTTCTTTTACAAACACAAATAATACATTAGTGACCCCCTTTTGTTAAAAAAAATCCAAAGGTTCCTCTGATCACGAGAGTCAGGAACAACATCATGTCCAAGGTAAAGGGACTGCTGTTTTGCTGTAATTGCCTGCCTCGTGATAAACTTCTCAGTCCCAAGTAAATGCATTCAATGCTGAAGGACACTTGGAAATTGAAGCCCAAGGACAATGCCAATGTTCTAACTGAAAATATTATGCATAATTTTAATTCAATGTAACACAATTTTAATGAATACAGCCTGCAGCAACCTGAAAAATCTGTCCACTCATTCTATATTTATCAAAAGGGCCCTTATATAGAGTATAAAATCACAGCACAAAACCAGGCCAAAATGCTATTTTTATATCTACCATTAAACTGTAATACAAACACAAAAAAGCTTTTAAAAACCCATTTAAAGGTCAATTTTGACTGCCTGTCATATGGTCAACAGTCTTGGAGCGAACCTGATATTCCTTGGCAAGGAATTCCATAATTGAGTTAAGGCTACAGAAGAAGCTCTGTCTTATACACTCCTCAATGTAACTCAAGGTTTTCTGTAAATTTGGCTTCTAATTGTTTCTAGGAATGTGGCAGATGTTCCTCAAGGAATGTGCCTTATAGTAGACCATTATGGAGCATAGGCTTTAACCATTTCATATTGAATGCATCACTGTATAAGGGGCGATGGCTAGTCTCTCCATGAATAATTTTGTGTCTCATCGCCGCGAAAATAGGGCAGTGTAGGGGCTTGCCTAATTTCCCTGGGGAGGGTGTTCTGAAGTTGAGGGGCCACCAACAAGAAGGCCCTCTCCCTCGTCCCCACCAACCATGCTTGTGACGGTGGTGGGAGCAAGAGCAGGATCTCCCCGGAAGATCTTACAGCTACTGACGGTTTACAGGGATGAAATGTATTGTGTTCACAGGCTTAGAAAAATAGTTAGCCTGACTATGGAGTCTGCCTGTTTTATGCCTTTTACCATTGTTGCTGATCTATTTTTTTAGTGTATGGAGTTTAAATGTTATCTGTTTATTTAATGTGCTTAAAGCATCTATGCCCTGTTACTTTAGCAGTTTTTCTTTTAGAATATCTCTTGTTTAAAAATCCTTGGTAAATACTAAAGATCTGAACACTGGGGTACAAACTCAAATGAGAGACACACATTGCTTTGTTGCTGTACCCCTTCACATTGTTTCCAACTTATGGCAACCCTAAGGCAAACCTATTACGGGATTTTCTTGGCAATATTTGTTCAGAGGGAGCTTGTCTTCACCTTTTTTCTGAGATTGTGAGAAGTTGGCTTGCCGTGAGTCACATAGGGGTTTTCCATGGACAAGCAGGATTTGAGCCCTGTTCTCAAGAGTCATAGCCAAATGCTCAAACCACTGCATAACACTCTCTCTCTACACATGCGAAAAAGTTTACTATCTAAGATGTAAAGGCAATCCAAGGAAAATTAAGCCTGTCGGTGTTATATTAGTCACGATGAAACTTTTATTCTCATTATCCAGGACTTAATCATCTCTTTTTAAAACATAGCCATTGCTACAGAAATGTAATCTGAATGTCTACATATTTATTTATTTATGTTAGTGACTGCCAGAGTGGTGTAGAGTTTCAAATGTTGGACTCTGGAAAAACCATAGTTTGAATATTCTTTTCAGCTGGATGGCCATCTGTCAGGGATGCTCTGAATGTGATTTTCCTGCTTCTTGGCAGGGGGTTGGACTGGATGACCCACAAAGTCTCTTCCACCCTATGATTCTATTCTATGATTCATAGAAACCTGCTTAAAAGGCCTTAAGCAAGCCATCCTGTCTCAGACACAGAAAAGGGTAATAGAAAGTCTCCTTTGAAAAAAACTCCGGCCATGAAAACCCCATGAGAAGAAATGACTTGAAGGCACAAAATGGAAATACATTTTTTTAAAGATTAGGAAGAACCTTTCCTATTTGGCCATCAGCAAGGAAATTGCCCAGGGGATACCCAGATGTTTTTTTATCATACTGAGGGGGGCTTCTCTCACGTCCCCACATGAGAAGCTGCAGCCGATAAACTGAAGCTCACCCTGCTCCCCAGATTCGAACTGCTGACCTTTTGGTCAACAGTCCTGCTGGCACAAGGGTTTAACCCATTGAGCCACAAGGGACTCCTTGTGTTAGTGGTTGGAAACTGTCAAAGCGAATGCTTATTTATTTATTTATTTTAACCTGAAGAATTTTCATGCTTTCAGCATCTCTTTCTTTAGGATGACTGTTCCCCTTGACTATTTTTCTGGGAAATATTAAATAATGATAAACACAACAAGCAAACTAACCAACCAAAATATTGTGTCTCTTAAGCAAAGTACCAAGAGTATTTCATTAAAGACAAGAAAAAAATCTCAGCCAAAAGTTGCATCATTAAAAATGGGAATTTATGGGAGCAAGCTGTGGATAATGACACTTCACATATTAATTCTATAAAGTAGGATGACAGGAAAGATAATTATTGTCAAAATCTTAGAGGAAAATAAATAATTGAATGTTATTGGAGGCATTTTATGGTCGCACATAGCCACATAAAAATGAAACCTTTCATTAATACCAAAAGATTTCATACTGCACAGTCATTAAGGTTATTAATAAATGCCCTCCAAAGAAGTCATTTTGAAACACAGCAGTCTAGCAGTTAAGGATATTAATATATGCCTTCTGAAGGCATTTCACAGTGACTCACTTCTGTTTTCCTGAAAGTTTGACTTCGAGAAATGAGTTTTCAAACTTACACAGGTTTTTGCACTCCTGTCTGCCCCAGCTTCCAGCAAGAGTTTGACACATTCATTATTTCCATTTCCACAGGCCAAGAAGAGAGGTGTCTCTCCCCTTTCAGCAGCATGATTAACGTCAGCATGGTACTTGATTAATAATTCTGCACATCTAGGGATTGAAACATTAGGCAAAGACACATTAGGACAACATCTGACCTGGAAAAACCCCGACCTTCACAATTCCATTCAGCTCCCATATCGTCTCCACCAATATTTAAATAGCCAATGGGGAAAGCATTTTTTTAATCAAAAATCTGAAGATTAGCGTACATCTTTATTGTAGAATTAATGCAATATGGCACAATTTTAACTACCATGACTCAGTGCTACATAACATTGTAAGAAGTCTCTGGCGAAGTCTCTGGCAAAGAGTGTTGGCTATCAAACTACAAATCCTATTATTCCATATGATAGAGCTATGGCAGTTAAGTAGTGTTACACTGCATTTAGGGTGTAGATACACACTTAGTATCCTACATTCAATCCAGGATTTGTATTGGACTACTGGAAGAAACCAGACCTTCTCATCCTGACACTATCTACTTATGTCTGAGAATTACATATTTAACAATAGTTGTAATGTGAAAAGGAATCTTATAATACCTTTGAGATTAATTGAAAGGAATAAGTTGGTTGCATAAGCTTTTGTAGACTTAACTCTACTTCATCAGATACATGAGATCTAGACTAACATGGAAACTACAAGGAAAGATGATTCCACCTGAATATTAGGAAGAACTTCCAAACTGTGAGAGTTGTTTAGCAGTAGAACTCTGTGACCCAGACTGTTGTGGAACTTCCTTCTTCGGAGGCTTTTAAGCAGAGGCTGAATGGCCATCTGTTGGGGGTGCTTTGAATGCGATTTTCCTGCTACTTGGCAGGGGGTTGGACCCACAAGGTCTCATCCAACTCTATGATTTTATGGCTATGATTCTGAATGGTAATTACACCAACAGATATATTCAAGTGCTATGAAATATGATTTAAATAAGTATGGGTTTCATCACCTTCAGAACAGTCTGAATTGTCTCTATGTTCGTGGAAGCCCTTCTCTCAAGCTGAAACACTGGAAAATGGTTGATGTAGGTATGTTTGACCATACCTACATCAATAAATAGAATCATAGAATCATAGAGTTCGAAGAGACCTCATGGGCCATCCAGTCCAACCCCCTGCCAAGAAGCAGGAAAACCACATTCAAAGCACCCCAGACAGATGGCCATCCAGCCTCTGTTTAAAAGTTTCCAAAGAAGGAGCCATCAAATAGGTAGATGCTATGTAGAAAGCACTAAAAATATTGCCTTTTGGCAGGACCTATCACATGGTTACTACAAGGTCCAATATATTCTTATGTAAGCTTTATTCAACTTGTTTTTTTTAGATTTTGAATAAAACGTTTCTCAAAACATGTTGAATTGGTCTTTTTTTAAGATGCAGGAACCAACCCCTATTCTTTCCACATTATTTTTGTATTTCATCCCAAGTTTTCTGTTGAAGTAATGTGCTTTGTTAACTCAGACTCCAAAGAGTAACTTTGTTTTGAAATGCCAGGATGGTGAGATCAATTCTGAGTCTGCTCACAACTTGTCTACTGAACTCTGGGCTGAGAGCTGACAAGTGACTGTCTCTACTGAAGGGCTGTCATGGGTAACTGGAATAACAGGGTTGTCATAGGTCAGGTATCAGGTTGATTGACAGCCCCAGTGGGAAACCTGCACCACACCTGCCTGAACTATGCATCGTTCTAGCCAATACTAATAGCATCTTTGTGATTTGAATGCCAGATTGCTATGGCAGCAACAATACCAGCTGCACAGCAAACCAGCAAGCAAAAAAAAAAAGAGTGTGTGAGAGACAATAGCATCTACAGAAAATAGGATTCATCAGACTGAATGAACTCACAGACATAATCAAATTTCTGCAGCACGGTTTGAATGCTGTTTAGATTCATGCTATTCAGGGCTGAAATGGATGGACAGATACTAGACTGTCTGAAAAGAGTGGGCATCAATTCTATTTTATTGCATTCTTTTGTACAAAGATGATAGAGTGTTAACTGTGGTTAGCAAGAAAGGTAAAGAGCTAAGCAGATCTGAAAGGCATTTATTTATGAAGACAAGCACTTCCTTTCATGACAACAGACCTACTCCACTGTGCATTATCTCACAGTTTAGTCTTTAGAAAGATAGGGGGTATACACAAACAAATTATTCCTACAACTGCTAGAAGGAGCAAATAAAAAGAACTGTCAGCTTGCTTGGGTTTCAGCATGTGATCAGTGTCTTCCCATGTCATGATTTCTATTAATAGAAGACTCAGTTTCAAACGTTCTTGTTCTAAAACTGCAGCGTGAGAAGGATTTCTATTTATTTCTACTCATATGAGAGGCATATATGCCTAATAAGTTTTTGTAATTTTGCATTCTTTTTGCAGGACAGATGGAGAAACACCTCCACCAACACCTGCATGCACACACACAAACATGTATGCACACACATAAAGAAACTACAGTTTTGAGTTATGGCTTCCTTGGCGGAATCAAGCCACACGTAGTGTGCTCTTCCCCTTTTTCTACTGCCTTCTGCTTTACTGAATATTATAGTCTTTCCCAATGAATTGTCTCTGCCCATGATGTGTCCAAAATATGACAGCATCAATGAAACCTTGGCTTCCAGTAAGAAGCTAGGCCTCACTAACTCTAGGAACTACTCATTAAGATGTTTTTCCTGAACCTTGTAGCCTTGCCTTGGATAGATTCAAGTTATGCCTTGTTTGATTTCATGATTCCAGTTTGGAGTTTTACCTTGGAAGTTCCTGTGCTAGTTTTTCATGAACTCTCGGACTTCCGGGTGAGGACAAGATGGCGGCTGCAGCAGGGCCCACAGCTCCTGAAGTTAGGGGGTCTGGAACCTCTCCTCATAGGGAAGGAGATATACAATCTCCCCAATCCTGATGGAAGGAGGTCAGGTTGGAAGCAAACTTCACAGAGGGACACTCCTGGCGCGGGTTGGGGGGTTTCCTCTGGGAGACCCATCCTGCCTGTGTGAGAGATCCTCACAGAAGAAGCTACCCAGAGAGGGGGTAGATAGATAAATCTCAGAGCAACAAGGCCCCAGGACCAGATGGCTTTACAATAAATTATTACAAAAATTTAAAGAGGAACTCTCTACACAGTTAAGGGAGGTAATGAACAAAGTCCTAATAGGATCCAAGATTACAAAATCATGAAAAGAGGCCAATATCACATTAATTCACAAAGATAAGGCTGACCAAACTAATCTGAAAAACTATCGCCCAATTTCATTACTGAATAGTGATTATAAGATCTTTGCGAACATACTAGCGGACCGATTGAAAAAATTATTACTAGAGAGAATAAAAGAAGACCAAAGCGGGTTTTTACCTAATAGGAAATGAAAGATAACACAAGAATGATACTCGATATCATAGAATACTACGGGGGGGAAAACCCCAGAAAGAGGTAGGCCTCCTCTTCCTCGATGCAAAGAAGGCCTTCGATAATATAAGTTGGGAGTTTTTGATAGAAACCCTTAAAGAAATAGACATTGGACGTTACTTCCTAAATGCAATTAAAGCTGTCTACAGTATACAAACAGCAAAAATCATAGTAAATGGTACACAAATGGAAAAAATAAAAATATAGAAAGGGGTAAGGCAAGGATGTCCATTGTCCCCATTACTATTTATCATGATACTCAAAATATTATTGGAAGAAATAAGGACAGATAAGGACTTACGAGGGATCATTCGAATCAACCCTGGCGATCAATGGGGTGACAGATGTCGCAGCCAGATCGCCCTCACAACGGTCTGAGGTGGGTGAAGGGAGAGGATGTTTTATGTTGAAGGAGCTTTAATGAGGCGTGCTGTTGTTGTTCGCTGAAGGCCTCAATGGCAAGTGTGTCTACGCTCAATACATGCGCCTCCCCGAAGGGGCCCAGCACCTTGGAAAGGCCTACTTATTTGACCTCTCGCAAAAGTGGGTTGGGACAAAACCAGGCCTTGAAAGCGCTGCAACGCCTCTAGATTTCTCTACCTTGAAAGCAGCTGATTTTGGCATTACCCCGGAGTTGTTTACAAAACAAACGGAAAGACAATCTAAGAATGTTTTAAACAAACTTAGATGTCGATCAACAATTGGAATTCAGGATTCACCAGAAAATAATTCGATACGTTGCTTAGCAACGTGAGCAAGGAAGCAAGATGCTGTGTGTATTGTGGAAAGACCCTTAGAATCTATACAAAAATGGATTAAAAAATAGAGAAGTTCGGGGCATTAGCGAGATTCAAGATCAATAAGAGTAAAACAAAAATAATAACAAAAATATTACAAGAGAAGGAAAGGATAAGTTACAAGAAATTGCTACAATAGAAATAGTGAAAAAAGTTAAATACCTAGGCATCACAATTTCAAATTCAAATTCCCATCTCCTTAAAGACAATTATGAAAATACTTGGAAAATTCTTAAACCAGTCATTATAAGGCAGAACTGCAGCAGTAAAAATGTGTTTTCTCCCCAGAATGATTTTCTTATTCCAAGCAATCCCCATCTTAAGAACAAAGACCTGCTTTTCGAAATGGAACAAGGATATATCGAATTTTATTTGGAATGGGAAGAAGCCCACAGTTAAATTTAAGACACTAACCGATGCCAAAAGTCGAGGGGGCTTAGCGCTCCCAAATTTACAACTTTATTTCAAAGCGTGTGCCCTAACATGGGTCAAGGAGTGGACAATGCTCCAAAAGGAGAAAATCTTAACTTTAGAGGGTTTTGACCTTAGAAGAGGTCTGGTATAGCAAAACCAAAGTGGAAAAAAAATTCTCCTGACTACTTCGTCATGGCAGCTCTGCTTAAAATATGGAATAAATATAAAGGTTTTTTTTTAATGAAAGAACCCTGTTATGGGTATCCCCGGCAGAGGCATTCCACAACAAGGAAATTCCATGTGAAAAATGGCACACCTACAAACATTTAATAAAAAAAACAAAACAATGAATGGGAGCTGAAAACCTTGGAAGAAGTAAGGGAATCTGATGAAAAAATGAGTTGGTTTCATTATTTACAAACCAAAGAATGCTTTAAAGAAGACTGAAAGTTAGGCTTCAACTCTAACGAAACATGCTGGGACACAATATTAAAAAAGGACAAAAAGTTAATTAAAATACTCTACCAAAAACTACTAGAGTGGGACACGGAGAAAGATTTAATAAAAGAAAACATGACCAAATGGGCTGTAGACATTGGACACTCTATTCTCTTAAAGGAATGGGAACACGACTGGATGACTAAATTAAGATATACAAGAGCCACTAACATAGTTGAAGGCTGGTACAAAATATTCTACCGCTGGTGTCTACCTCCTCTTCAATTAGCAAAATTTTATTAAAAAATACAACAACCAATGTTGGAAATGTGGTAGGGAAGTGGGCACTCACTTTCATTTCTGGTGGAGCTGTAAAACAACCAAGAAATATTGGACAACAATACACAAACATACTCAAAAAATTATTAAGGTGAAATTTGACATGAAACCGGAATACTATCTATTGAATATAACCAATTTCGAACTAGGAAAAAATGATGAAAAGATTTTGTTTTATTTGTCTGCAGCGGCAAGAATAATAGTAGACCAGAAATGGAAAGCAAAAGATCATCCTCTAATTGAAGACTGCCTAGAAAAAAATAATAGAATATATGAGTATGGATAAACTATCGCGTTTATTGGAAAATACAAACAAAAGGTACCAAACCAATTGGGAACCACTAAGAAGACATTTGCAGGAAGAAATTAAGTTACAAATTTAATTATCAAAAAAGGTTAAAGAGGAAAAAATAAAAATAAGCACACACACAAACGCACACACACTGCCAGTTAGTAAATCACATAGGAGGAACTATTTGAAAGACTATCTCCCTGCGGATCAAACTGGAAGTACTTCTAAGCCTTACCCCTCTCCACACCTTCCCACCCCACCCCAAATTAATTTCCCTCTGTTTCCTTTTTTTTCTTTTTCTTTTTCTTTCTTCTCTTTTTCTTCTTTCTTCCCTTCCTGCTTTTCTATCAACCCAATTGTTCCCCCTCTTTTAATGTAATTTGAAAATGATGGAATTGGTGGAATAAAAACGATTAATAAAAAAAAAGTTTTTTCATGAACTCTGATGGACTAATTTCCTGGATTATTCGTTCCTGCTTATCTTTCTCCCTACTTGGATTTACCTATTTCTATGAAGTGTTTTTACTGCTAATGCTTTTTTTATTATTTTCAATAAGCTGCTTGCATTTTACTCAGCTGTGTGGTATTTTAAAGTTAGTGGGCTTTTACTGGTCTGGAGTACAACACCCAGTTTTTACAACCATATATAGAAATAGGAAGTAATAAATTATTTATTATTTTTTATTTACCACACTTTTATCCCACTCTTTTCAGCCTGAAGGCGACTCAGGGCGGTGTAAAGACTGGCAACAATTAGATGCCGAACACACATAAATACTAGGGCTGGGCGGTTTCGTTCGTTAATTTCGTAATTCGTTATTGATTTGTATTTAAATTAGCTTACGATCCGATATTGAGCCATGCAGGAGCAACTAAAAATCGAAACGAATTTTTCAATTTATTTCGTAATTGTTTCGTAATTGGTTCGAAATCGTTTCGAAATCGTTTCGTTATTATTTCCGTATGTCTGGTGCAAGTTTTATAGTTGTTGTTTGTTTTCTCAGTGATAAAAAAATAAATTATTACACCAACAGTCAACAACAGAGGGAGAGGGAAGCTTCAGAAGTTCCCCCTGTCCCATTTGGAGGTTTTTTTAGCGTATTGCGCAATCGCGTCCGCCATCAACAAATCGATTCGTAATTGTTTCGTAATTGTTTCGTAATTTCCAAAATTTCGTATATTTTGAACTTTTTAAAAGAAAAATTTCGGAATTCTTTTAAAAAACGAAACGCAAAACCCCCTAAAAACGAATCAGGTTTAGAAACAAATTTTTCCGTGGTTACCCAGCCCTAATAAATACATCGTTTAAAACAGATTAAATCACATAATAAAATTCATACAAAAACGATTTAAAACTATAAAAATCAATGCCATCCACACATAATTCTGATTTTGGTAGTTAATTATACAACCCCATTACGCTGTACAAAAAAAACCAAAACACAACCAAATCTTGGTGGACTATAGTAGTCACACTGAATCTGCAGCCTCATTTTCTTACACAAAAACACAATCTGAACATGGCAAAATATAGCAATTGCATAGTATAGTACACACAAAGTATTTTTACTAGAGGCCAGATGGCATCTCACAATTCTCAAGTGTTCCTTCTGTCAGTCACTATTGAACTCTGACAAAAGTTGCCTGTGCTTTTATTCTATTTCCTAAGGCACTCCATTAAATGAAACATCCTTGTTCTTTGACGTATTCTACTCCAACTGAGTGGGCTTTTTGCAGACCAGCCGTTTTTGAAGGATCAAAGCAAAATATCCATGAATGTAGTTCTCTCCATCAGCTGCCAGTTGAAGCACATGTTTTTCATTTAATCCTAATTTGTGAGCTCAAAGAAACCTCAGATAAGGATTTCAGCAAAATCTGAATCATAAATCAGTTCAAAGATCCAGTAACGAAACACACTTGAGAAGAAGAAGATCCAGGAAAGAAGATTATATCTAAATGCAATCTAAAATATAATATTAAAAACTGGAATGCATATTTGGAGGTGTGTATAAATTGCAGACTGATTCTATGAACATGTATGAAAAGGGACACCATTAAGGCATGACTTACCTGTAACAGTCACACAAATTGATGTGTGCTTACAAAAAACAAAAATCCTATCTCTCTAACAAAAAAACCCCCCCACAATAACAAATATTAGATACTAGAAGAGTTCTCCTGACTGCAGATTATTGACTGAGTTTATACATCCCCAATTGTAAATACCGAAGAAATACACAGAGTTATGCATGGAAAGAGGATACTTAATACATGACTTACTTGCAGTGTCCCTGAGCAACTGCTGAACACAAGGGTGTAAAGCCATTTTTATCAACTGGATCAACTTGTGCTTTTGAAGTCAGCAGCAATCTTACACAATCTATAAATCGGGAAACATAAAAGACGTATTCAAAAGCTGAAGACCAGATGGCATTCCTTAGAAAACATGCAACTAATAAAGGCAAAGTAGTATATCCTGATGCCACATGTTTAGATGTTAGAATAATGTTTAACAATAAAATAATTTAACAGTTAAATATAACTTGAATGGCCAGAATCCTCTGTCATCTACTTAGTTAAGTATACTTAGTTAGATTAAATTAGTAACTTCTCCAGCCCTAACATCCCAAACCTGACAGAAACATCTTTCACCTATACTATAGTCATTGGCAGAATGGGTCCCCTTCTCCCCCATGTGGCTCATGCACAGTAAAGGAGATTGGAGAAGTTACAATCTACAAAAAATTGTGGCTAACTATTAATCATCAATACAAATCAATAAAGGACGAGTATTTATGATAGTTACATAATCATGATTGCAATACTATTGCTATGGTTATAACTCCCCTTTGACCTACTTTACTGTACATCAGCCACACATAGGAGAAGGAGGTTTATTTTGCCAGGGATTGAAACATGGGTGAATAATGTTTTCACTGGGTTGGGGGTGGCAGGGGAAGTTACTTTGTTAAGTCTGTTATCCTGTACCAGTGATATAGTTATGTATACTTAGTTATGTTCAGAATAATAAATCGGTAGTTCATTGCAAGATTCTGGAAGACATAAACTGAAAGTTTTGTAATTTTTTAAAGTATTCCATAATCCAGTTCCTCCGGGTCACAATACTGGGGAAAATGAAGAATATAGATGAAATGCTGCTGCTGTTATTGTCTCTGGGGAAATAATTCAATGGGATTTATTCCTAGGAGAATGTAAATAAGTCTCCATGAGATATGTGTATCACCAATTTCTATTACTCAGAAGAAAATGTGCACCAAGGAGATGTTCTGATTCTGAAATTAGCCTCAAATAGGATATGCTGGTCACTAATTAAGATGCATTGACACCAGGGGCCCCTAAACTAAGGCCCACATGCTGGAAGAGGTTCTCCAAGGTTATTTACCCAGCCCACACACTAAACTTTAGATTTAATGAAATCACTTGAAAGCACACAATGACAAGAATCCTAATTAATTTGACCCACACTTCCCATTGAAAGTTTATGCTGGTTAAAATTATTCTTCTTTTCAAATATTGCATTTTTATTTCATATATTTTTCACTACAAATAAGATATGTGGTGTGCATAGGAATTTGTTCATGTTTTTTTTTCAAACTACAGTCTGGCCCCCCAACAATCTGAGGGACCTTTAAACAAAGTTTGAAGACCCCTGATCTACACCCTAATGCAATTTGACAACACTTTAACTTCCAAAGATCAATATTAAGGAATATTGGGAGGTATTTTCCTCCAGCCTTCAAAGTATTGTTGTGTTGTGTGTTGAGGCCTTGGCCTGTGTAAGCCGCATCGAATCCTTCGGGAGATGCTAGCGGGATACAAATAAAGTTTAATAATAATAATAATAATAATAATAATAATAATAATAGCCATCCGAGATTCTACTTTAGTTCAGTGGGTTGGGTTCAGCATCTTGAATAGCTCCTCTATAACATCTGGAATAGAAGCAGTAGCGAATTTTCTGCAACGTTGAGAATAACTGACATAACTAGTTATGAGGAAAGAACTTGGTAAATTTACTTTTTTGGAGAACAGCTCCCTTCTAGCCAGTAATGCCACTGGGAGATCTAGTCCACAATGTAACTTCGCAAGCTACAAAGGAGATAGGACAGGGGGTCGGAGATTATCTCAAAAACTGACAAAATGTTTTTGGTTGCCATCCATATGCATGTTTCATGAAGGCCATGCTTCTATACCCATTCTCCTGGGAATAAATCCCATTGAATCCCTGCCCCCCGCCCCCCAGAGACAATAGGGACAGTGCCAGGTACCAAACCTAAAAGTCAAAATTTAACAATAGGGCTCTCTGTGGTGATTTAAATATCGAAACATGTTTTACACTTGGGGCTGAAAGGTGCCCTAGATATTATTTTTAAAATAAAATAAATATTTAGAGAACAAGTCCATCCTGCTGTCATAGAAGCCAAATGACAAGACCCCTACAATTGTCCTTCATTAAATTGCTGTGTATTCACTATAAGTTGCTTCGGCTATTTCTTATGGAGAAGGAACCGCAGCTACTCCTTTTCAAATCAAAGGATAACAGCTTTAGCTAGTTTGTTTTGACTTCCTTCCAACATACTTTGCATGTAAACACAAAAGACATCATCAACATTATTAGAACAAAACAGATTTCATTCATTTACTCTGGGGTCAATCCAACAGTCTGTTGACAGCTGCAGCTAAATTTTATTTCCTTCCTCTATTCAGTTATTGAAACACGTAAAAATAAGGGAATTTCCAATGCTGCATTTACACTGTAGGATCAATGCAGTCTGACACCACTTTAAATGCCATGGATCAATGTGATGAAAGCATGGAAGATGTTTTACAGGATCTTCAACCTTCTTTGTCAAATAGTTCTGGTGCTGCACCTCTGATGATTCTATAGCACTGAGGTATGGCAGTTAAAGTGGAGTCAAACTGCATTAACTCAACTGTACAGATGTACATGTAGTCTCCCAGAACTAGTTTTGGGAGAGCACAAGGGAATGCATTGGGGAGGAGAAATGCTCCTTTTCATTTCCACTTGATCCTGCCATTCTTGTCTGTTGAATTGAGTGCAAACTATTTTTGTACTTTTCTCTATGTTGGGATAAGATCCATGGGATTTACATCTGAGCAGACACATGTACATCAGAGGTTCCCATCCCTTTTTTGATCAGGGACCACTTTGACCAGGGACCACTCTCCAACATTAGTACCAAAAGGGTTACGAATCAGTTTTTCGTCAACTTTATATTCAGTTTGGTTATTTGGGGTACTGATTCAAGAAATTGCATTGAATAAATCACATCAGCTTTAGTTTGCGATATAGAACATATGCCATCCAGTAGTCGCCATCTGCTCACGCACAGAAAACCATATTTAATAGCCCTCGGCACTATAAGAGGGTTTTGTGAGACCAGTCTGTCTCATCACAATGGTGTAGTAATGGTGAGGCTGCAGACCATATTTTAGTTCTTGCGGACCACTTGTGGTCCACGGACTACAGGTTGGGAACTACATTACATTAACTACAACAGCTTAACAGCCAATGAAGTAACCACTCAAACAAATCCCATACCTGTATGTCCATTCATAGCAGCAGAATACAAGGCAGAATAGCCATCTTCACAGGATTCGTTAATGTCCAAACCTTCTTCATTAAGCAGCATTGACAATAAAGTGACATTTCCCTGGGCAGCAGCTTGGTGAAGAAGGGTGGGCCTGCCACCCAGGGGGGCAGGACCACCGCTCATTAATAAAGGGGTTAGGGAGGGAGACCAGCCTGTGAGTTAAAAGCAACATCAATTAGAGAGAACACACACGAAGAAGCTAAAGAGGCACGCTCGGCAAGCTATTAAACAACGTTCAACTCCCTGTCATTTCAGGCTCCATCAAAACTGAGCACAGAGTTGACAAATGTTATTTTTAACCCTGCATCCAAAGATAATTAGGAGTCACACACAATTATGACGTTCTAGGCTCTGTTAGATAGTTACTGTTGTAGATAAGCACTAAGAGACAATAAAGAACACTTGGGTTGAATCCACACTGTAAAGTTAATGCAGTTTGACATGACTTTAATTGGCTTGATTCAATGCTATGGAATCATGGCAGTTGTCATTTTACGAGTTTTTAGCCTTCTCTGCCAAAGAGTGTTGGAGCAAAGATACAAATCCTAAGATTTCATAGCATTGAACCATGGCAGTTAAAGTGGTATCAGACTGAATTAATTCTACAGGTAAATCCACCCTTGGTTGCTATTGTGCACAATTTGTTTGTTAAAGAACAGAGCTATCTTAAATCTATTCTGGATTTACAATTCGAAAAAAATACCAAGAGGGTTGTAGTCAATTTTACATAGAATTAATTCCCCTTTTAAAAACTGCAGCCTGGATACTTGTCTCAAGAATATTTCAAATCGATGCAAAATAAGACCTTCTAGTTGAGAATGCATTTAAAACCCAGTCTTGTCCTGCCTACAGCTTCCTTGGCTGCCTGAAATACTGCAAAACCATTTTAATTTGGCAGCCTGGCTTTTCCTCTTGTGTTTTTACAGGAAGGGTTTCAGAACAGCAATTAGCAAATTACATCCAAATTACTGGCAAAAAGCTTCCAAGTCATCCAATAAGAAAGGCAACTGACAGAGCAGACTTTAGAAAAATGAGGAGCAGTTATCTTGGTTAGACATTCCAGGTATCAGGCATTAGCAGCTTTAGAGGAGAGTTTATTAAGGGCATGAAGTCGGCTGTATAGCGTGCGGAAGACTTTGTGAACTCTTCCTTGATCAAAAGGCTGCAAAAGTAAATAGAAAACAGGAGTGAAAATAGAGATGTTGCATTAATTGTGGGTTGCCCAATGAAAGAAAAAAAAGAATGCCAAAGTCAAGTAATACATAAAAACTAATAATCAGTTTATATTGGTTGTTCATATTATAATGGCAATGAATTAATACAGCAAGTGTTGTAACACTTGCATTGTAATTTACCCTTTCCATAACCTTTCAAATGTAGCAGGAACTTATCTATTGTTCTCCTGTCTGTTATCGTTTATTATTTATCTATTTCCATCTAAAGAGAAGGCTGAAGAATGTTTTCTATATTGCCATGCTTTTAATGAAATATCAGGGAATGTTTGCTATGTTTCATTAAACATAGCAAGGTTATGCCTTACTTAAAGGCATCCACAATATCCCTTGTCCAAACTGGGCAGGAACCAACATGAGGCATAAAGGAAGTGAAAATGGGCAAGAAGAAGAAAACTCTGCAGGGAGGGGAGATTGGGAAGGAGGCAAGAAGAGCAGGTAGCGGCAGTAAAATAGCAAGAAAGATATCCTTATCTCCTTGAATGTACCTACCTTTGCCATCCATTGGCAACACCAATGTCCTGCCTCCTTGGCCAATATGACATCACACCTGATCTGACCATGCTAATTTTGGGCTCTTTCCAGAGAAGATTGGGTGGACAATTCAGAACAATTATGGGTGCTATCTTTACTCCATCCAATTGAAGCCTCAAAGATCTTTTCCACACTGCTCTACATCCCAGGATCAGATCCCAGAATATCTGCCTATCCCAAATTATCTGGAAGCGGAGACTCATATAATCCAGTTTAAATTGGATAATCTGGGATCAGATCCTGGGATATAGGGTAGTGTAGAAGGGGCAAAAGTCTCACATTTATGGTAGGGATATCTCAACTGGACCTTTCTTCATGTATTCCTCATTGTTCTAAATTTAGAAGATTCATATAAACTTTCATTTTATTTTCAAAATCATTACGTCTAATGGGAAAACGTAAGAAGCATTTCTTTAAAAACCTAGATGAAATAAACATTTACATTTTAACCTAGGTTGCATCCACAATAATTCACTGAAGAATTATTGGGGAATTGTTTTTTTTATAAGTCATTGACAAGCTGAATTAAAATGAACGCTCCAGGCCAGCATTGTTATGACAGCATTTTATCCAACAATGTCCTTTAATCTATGGCCTAGATTTTGCTAGAATCTTTGCTTACAAGGAAAGTGTTTCCAGTAATATTCAGGAAAGGCTGTCCTTGTATGTACAGCTGAATTTATTACTTCTGGGTGAATATTAATATATTTTTAGTGATGAAAGGCATTTTATTTGTCCCATATTTGTCCCATTTTTAATTGCCCTAGTTCAGTTTTTATATCCACATAGGAATACAAGAATGACTTTCAATTATAGATTTTCCTTTACGACCAGAAAAATACAATAACAGAGAAATTAAGGAAAGTCATTCAAGAGATACTTATGAGATTCTCATCCTAATCGCTTTTAACCTCTGTTCATTTGAAAGCAATTGCAGTGAGAGATGTTTAATTAATGGCACAGCTGCCCTTAACAACTCTCCCCATTCACATGACAGAGTTTCATTTTATTTTAACTGTCATGGCTCCACCCAAAAGGATTCCTAGAATTGTCTCCTAGGGAGCTTTAGTCCAATCTCCTGAACTACATTGTCCAAGGCATTTTGAAGACCTGTTTACTTTTTAGGATCCCTTGGTATCTTCTTAAAGGCCTCAAAAAACTACAAATCTCAGTACTTCTTAGGACAGCACCGCAACAATTAAAGTGATATGAAACCTTGGAATGCTGACAAGATAACAGTTGGATGCTGCTTAGAGATGTAACAAAGAAGGCCTGGAGAATCCCAGAGAAAATAGCTAGTGTTGAAGCAAATCTGGTTTATATAGTCACTTTCATAAGAAAATTAGCTAAACCCAGAAGCAAGTGTGGCAGGAAGGCCAATGGATCAGTCTATTGTCACATCCTATCAGAGCCCTAATTAAAGATTTTACTCAACTGGAATTAGTCATTCATGGTCACATAAAAGGAATCTTTCGATCCAACATCCTTCACCTCTGCAATTTTGGATACTGTTTATCAAGGAACACAACAAGGAAAGGGGATGAGCTTCCAACAATAAGTACTTTTTTTAGCACTTATTTGGGAATTTCATTCATCAAATGATGGGATGTTATTTGCTACTGTTGTTCAGATGCATGTGGTTGAGGAGACTCTGGTGATGGCTGTAAATGTATGCAATGCCATTCTGAGACTAAAGCTCTTATTTTCAACTATTTTAATAATACCAAATAAAGCTCGAGCGGCTTTAGCCGCACTGTGATAAATCCAGGTATGATTAAATTTGCAGTCACATTCCTAGCAGAGCTTAAGTTTTCTCTTTGCTACAAACCACTTTACAAATTAGCAGAGTCCTAGTATGGAAAACAAACCCATGAAAGATCCTGAAACCCACATGGAGATTACTACACACAACAACCACACAAGCACATGTATTGGAAAGATGAGAGCAATGCAGGAAATAATGTGTGAAGCAGCCTTCAGGAAGAGCAAGAGAAAGCTTTCCAAAACACAGCATCAAACAAAAATGAAGCAATAATAGTTCCATTGCATATTTAATATGCAAATTCCAGTGTTGAAGTGTAATGCCGAATTGATATCAATATAAAAGATCTCACATGGAAACAGAACAGATTTGTATTCACTAAGGAAATTGCATAATAAATTTAGGAAACATGAGTAAGTCTTGTGGTTTCATATGCAAATGTTAGCAAATATGAAGCATCTGGGAGAGTGTGCTGGACATGCAGTGATGAAGGATGAAAGAAACAGAGGGGAAAACAGCTTCTGGCATCAGCTTCAGATTGTGGAGATGGTTAATTTCAGAGTTCATTTCCAACCTCTCCTGCACCCCATTCAGTTTATAAACAGAGCACATACAAAAGAGAAAATATATCTGAAAGAATCAACTAAAACATAAATTGATTGAAAACTGATTTTTTTAAAGAGTAAATTCAAAGAAAAAAAAACACCAAAAGGGTTAATTCCATGGGCATGGGAAATGCAATTGCTCAGAGCCACAAACTGAATAGGCTTAATTAAGACAGCTGAATCACAAAAAAAATTATCACCTTCAAAACAACTTCCAATGGAAATGGTCCATAGCCAACAGATTATTGAGATGCAGGTCATAATTTACTAACAAAAATTGTGCCCAGGTCTACAATTTGCATCAGTCCATATCCAATCACACCCTGATGCTACACACACACACAACCATGTAAGTCATCCAAAATCCACAAAAGGGCATGTTGAGATAAATCAGCCTTAGATAAGCTGCTTGGGTGCCTTTCTTTTTATGGTGTAATAAACTAACATTCTTTAATAACAAATATTTAAAGATGCCCGCTTCACATCTGAATTTGGAATAATTACTTCTTTGGATTGCCATTCGGAAACTTCCCAGTGTGCTGGCTCGAAGGTTCTGCAAAGTGTAGTTTAAGAAAGTAGTTTTCCAACCTATGAAATAACCTACACTGCTTCTCATCAATTCCCACTTCTAGGTAACAGAAAAATAAAGATGGAAGAAGCCCAGACAGCTAATATAATCAATGATCATCAATAGCAAAGCCTGCACTGAAGTTCATGGGTATTTCCAATACCACCTCTATAGTAGAAAATATTATAATGATAGGCAAGTTTGCCAGGCATAGTAAGTGAGTGCAGCCACAGCTAATGTGCTTTAATTCTAGCAGATCACATTTGCTGTCCTATTACTACAACTTTACTTAAACCAGATAGTACAACAGCATAATGTCACCGAGTCAACTGCCATGTTGTCTAAATAGTCACATCTTGGGCTACTCAAGTAGATGCTTTATGGATAAATACAGGGTGGACTGAATTTAGCCATATTTGATATGGGACTTCCAACTTTGGCACAGACTACACTGCACTTTCCATAATAAGCCATTTGGTGGGAAGAGAAGCACATTAAATGAGCTTAGAAGTTAAAATGTAAGTAGATTTTTTTTGCTTTGTGACAACAGTATGTCAAAACCTTCATGGGAGTGATATTAAATCATACCCAAAGACAGTTCACTTATGCAACCGCTTGTCTTCCTTCTATGTGACTGTCCTTTTGCTGAATCTGTACATCAACCAGAATGAGTATATAAATTACACAGGACTACAATGATTGTGATGCTCTTGGTAGCACTTTTGGAAGCAAAAAGACCTTCTAACTGTATTGTTTAACTACTGAAATAATTACTTTACTCCAAAGTCATCTGAACTTCTGCTTCTACTTCACATGGGAGAATGAGAAGGATTAGATACCTCAGTGATAAGGCACATGCTTTCCTTGCAGAAGGTTCCATATTTCCATGGAAAAGGTGATAAGCAGATGTTGATGGGTCTCAGAAAGACCCTTAGGGGAAGCTGCTGTCAGTTAGATTAGCTGGATAAATAGTGTAATGGGCAGATTTTGTACCTGTGACTACCTCTCTGTGATGGTGGTGTTAGTATGAGCAATGCGGCACACAGCCATATGAAGATATACACTCTAGAGTAGCCATATTGACCATGCAGCAAAATACAGCAAAGTCCATCTTTTAAGAATGTCAATCTATCACACTATTGCATGTATGAAATTGCTCTTAGTGACAGCCATACACAGAGCATGAAAATGGTATTATACTGTACTTTAATTTAGTCTAAGTGCAGAAAGGCATCCTAGTGATTTATTTCCACTTTAATTACTTAAAGTAGAGCAATGTGTCTCCTAAAATGATGACAATGAAGGGTAAGAACAATTTAAAAGCAAATGTTTTAGCAAGTGAGACCAACAGGATGTACTATAGAATCTTCCCAAATGTTTCAAATTTGGGTTGTAGGTTTTTTGGGCTGTATGGCCATGTTCTAGAAGCATTGTCTCCTGAGATTTCGCCTGCATCTGTGGCAAGCATCCTCAGAGCTTGCCACAGATGCAGGCGAAACCACAGGAGAGAGTGCTTCTAGAACATGGCCATACAGCCCAAAAAACCTACAACAACCCAGTGATTCCGACCATGAAAGCCTTCGACAATAGATTGTTTCAAATTTGTTTTTGTTTTTTGCTTTCATCATAATAGTTTGTATTTTGTGAAATGAGAATGTGTCATTTGGTCCTGGGAACTTTAGTAAGTTCCCAGGTCCAAAGCACCACAATGCATCTTATCCAAACAGAGGGCTCAGTTAATAGATAAGCCATTTTACTATTAATTGATAGAGAGGAATTTAGGAATTTAGTCTCTACTAGCTATATCAAGTCAAAGCAAACTTAGTCACCTTGAATAGATTGTAATAAGACGAAGTTGGGACATAAGCACCAGTATCAAGCATTAAAAGCTCTACCACAACCCGAATCAAAATCAACAGCCTTCCAATTAATTCCAAATATTCTTTTCAGCAATTATTGCTTTCATTGACTAGTACATGGCATTTAATGAAATGTTAAAAATGCAAACTGAGCTTCAATGAGCAGTTTGGAAATGAACTTCCAGGACTTATCAACTGAAATAATGACAATGCTTTGTGGAAATTACCCCTGCTATTATTTTTAATAATGGGTCCATTAATCATTACATGTTTTCTTCTAGCTTGTCTAAAATCTAGACTTCATAGTTTAGTAACTAAACCTTGTGGTGTGAGAAATAAAAGTTTTTTTTCTCCAGAAACAATTTACAAAGTGTATGTGGAGAAATGGAAACATCAGGAATGAGTTGGTAAAAGAGATTTATAATAATTACAGTCCTATACCTTATAGGATAATGTTGTAAATCCATCAGGACACTACTCTATGTATTATTTTCATTTCTATTCTGCCACTATCAAGCATTAAGATAAAAATTCTTTTCATCTGTTGCTTGAGGCTGAATATTATCACCTGGGGGCTCTTAACGTACCTGTTTTACTCCAGAGAATTAAGCAGTCCTCTCTATGAATTTGAGCATAGCCTACATTTTCCTCAGAAACTGGTGATAAAGTAATAAAAATAAGTAGGAAGCTTTCTTATACTGAATCAGATAATTGCTACATTACTGTATATGCTGACTGGGGTATCTCTTGCGGATTTGGGACAGTATTGTTTTCCTGCTGTGACTGGAAAAGAAAATTGGGGGAGAAATGGGGGAGGAAAGGCCAAGAAAATCAGCCAGAAGAAGCAGTTTTTAAAAAAAGCCAGTCTGGGTGAAGAAACTTTAATAGATGTTTGAGGAATTCTGGAATGCTAAACATGTTTTGCATGTGTTTTACCATTAAGCTATACGACCTTTCTATAATAAAATATAAACATCCTTAAAGTTTAGCCAAAGTCCAAGCAATCTTCTTGAGAATTTAATGGAATATAAAATAACACAGCAGTCTAATTTGCTAACCTCTTTCTACCAGTCATCCTATACAGAAACTTCTTACAATACTTAAAGAAAACCCAATGTTTACAAAGAATGTGTGCAGTTTGACAATACTTTAACTGCTATGGAATTGTGGGAGTTCTGGTGTCTCAGCAAACAACAAATCCCAAGATTCCACAGCACTAAGTCATGTCAGTTAAACTGGTGTCAAACTGCATTAATTCCATGGTTTAGATCCACCTTTGGATGAATGACTCAGAAGGCTATTTATGTGGAAGGGAGATAAAGGGCCTGCTTAAATCTTTCCATACACTAACTAAAACCCAAGGAAAAGAGGACCATGTATCTTTTTCTGTTGCGGAGAAAACTAGCTGAGTGGTTGAATAGCTAGAATGAGAGTGTTAAACAGCCTTCTTCCTCTCCCTGCCATCTTGACCTCTGAAATTAATTTATCTGACAAAAACAGAGTTTTTGGGAAGGCGGAATACATTCACAGCAGTAGACTTGAGGTAGATCCAGTTTAAGTTTAAGACTATCCAACTTATAAGAAAAAAATAAGAGTTCTTTTAAAAATAAACAAACAAACACACACGCACTAATTTATGGCCACTCAAAAAATCTGGAATATATGAAACAGGATGAATTTCCCATGCCCCTGAAATATAGAAAGAATGCACACAGAAATTTCAACTTTGCGGAAAAAAAGAAAAGAAAATGGCAAAATAAAATTAAGATAGACAAAGGCATGGGAAAGGGGGAAGTAAATATTTTGCAAAGGAGAAGAATAGGAGATGATTTTTAGAGGGACAGAGTTTAGGAGTATATCAACAATCCCATTACCTGATGCTGTTACCAGTAGGCTGTCTGAATCACATGGTCTACAGGATGAAGCACTATTAGGGTTTATGGAGGAGCTACAGGCAATGGTGGTGGGAATGACAAAGGAACTTTCTGAACATGCAGGTTGGCTCAGTCCAGGGGATTGGGAAGGCCAGGCACCCACCTGAGATGTGGCCATGGCTGGTATGGCACAGCCTGCAGATGCCACAGATATATCTATTGTTGGTTTTGGTGGCAGCTGAGGTGAGGACTTAGAAATAGCCTCCTCATTTATAACCCTGATTCCTTGAGGTGAACTGGAAGGAGGTGAAACTAGGGTTTTGCCCTCAGTTTTGGCACCTACATTGGGGGAGCGACCACTATCCATAATTACTTTAAGCTGTGGGTGTGGTGGAGAAGGAGTTTGTGAAAGGCCTGGTTTTTTGGGCGGAATGGGTGGAGGGTTTCCTCTATCAATCCTTGACACACTGGGAGTCTTTAAGCTCATTCTACCAACTGGGGGAGGATAAGTGCCCGCGTCCATTGACTGTGACATTCCTGGCCGTCCAGGTGCAGTGCCCTGAGGACTTGTAAATCTTGAAAGGACCTGGGTAACAGTATTCCGCGCTAGCTGCTTGGCCACTAGATTGTCTCGACTTGTGGGTGACACATCTCTCGACGGAGGGCTTTGGGTAGTGTTTCCATTTTGGTCTTGATCGTTAGCATTCGTCTGAAACCTAAACCTAGCTGCTTGGACACGTGGATTCAGACCTTGATGCCCGGTAGCACTGGTGGATGGAGATTGTGGAGGGTGCATAGATGAAGCTTGCAAGTAGGTCTGGGGTGTTATGCTGGGCGCTGGTGAAGATGCAGTATTGTTTGGAAAAGGGGAAGGCAGGCTTGTGAACTCAGGAGATGTACTTGGTCCGTTCTCCTCAATTCTACTTTGATTTTGAGTCAGAAGGTGTGTGGAAGGAGACAGAAGCAGATCACTACAGGAGGAATGCCGGTCAATGGTTGGCTTTACAAATCCTGCATTGGAGCTTACATTCATCTTTGCCTGGCCAGACAGCAAAGGACTGATAGCTGAAGGCTTTAGAGGTACAGTTAAAGGCAACTTCCTAACGGTTTCTGTTCCAACATCTATTAATGTCGTATCTGTCTGGCAAGCGAGTGTTCTCAAAGTGGGTCCTTCTGTCCCAACAGAGACAGAAACAGAACCTCTGTCTTTGTTCCGACGTGGGAGTGAAACGTGTGACTTATTCTCATTTTCCTTTTTCAGCTGTTCGATCATTTTCCTCATTCTCTCCCTCTCTTCTTTGAGATCATTGGTGTGTGCTTCCTCCTTGCCCAGCCTGATATGCAGTTGCTCTCTTTCTGTGTCAAACTCAGAAAGCTGTTTCTCCATTTGGGCCTCCATTTGCGTGCTCCGTTGTTTCTCCACTGCAAGGGATTCCTCCAGGTCACTGGCTTTTTTCTTTTCCTCTTCAAACTTGGCCATGACGTCTTCCAACTTCTGGGCCTCCTCTACAATTCTGCTAGACAACTGTTTACATTCTTTCACTAGCATCAATACGACATGTTTATTCTTGCCACGCTCCTCCTCAAGACGAGTACAGAGCTTCTTGTGCTCCATTTCAAGCGCTTCTAACTGGCATTTCTCCATTTCCAACTAGAAATAAATGCAGAACAAAACATTAATTATAGTAGCATTCTCTCAAGCTGAAATCAGTGGCATGTAATGTTACTTATTATGTACAACATGTATGCATTGAAAGCTAGCACCGAACAGTGGTTTAAGTATTGGACTAGGACACTGGAGGAGAAGGGTTCAAATCCTTGTGTAACCATGGAAAGCCACTGGGGGACCTTGGAGAAGTCACCTCAGCCGCAAAGGACAGAAAAGGCAAACCTTCTCTGAATAAATTCTGCCATGAAAAACCCATGATAGATTCTTTCTCCCTTGAACCTTTTTCCAGACATGAGTCCCAAAAAATGAAGTCATGTTTATTATATTTCTCCCCTTTGAATTTTCTATAGCTGGAAAATTGGATTTTGGAAGCAGATAGAAATATTATTTTCAATGATCCCTGGGTTGAGATTATTTACTTCAGTGATGAAGAACCTATGGCTTTCCAAATGTTGTTGTTACTACTTCTCATCTCTATTAGGAAATGGCCTTGGTTGCAGAGCTGTATTTCAAAATATCTGGAGGACCAGTGATCCCATATACTAGCATGGGCTTGTTTTTAAGCCGAATTGTGCTTCTGGTGGTGCAGTGCAGAACTGAGTAGGAGTATGTGGATGTGGGGTGGCAGAGCAACTCCCAATCGATATTTACTACCAGAAACTGGTCACTCCCGATGGTACCATGATGAAGCTCAAAACAATACAAGGAATGTTGCACACAATTTATGTTCAATATGCATAATCTTAACTCTGAATACAAGTGTCCTCTTTCCCTTTACTAATCATTCTGTTCCTGCATGCGTCTGTATTCACATCTATTTCAGGTTGCACCATTAGGTAATAAGCTGATCTGAGCAACTGAATAAATAAAATGGTTCTAGCCCAGTATTTATGATTACTACTGAGTCCAGGAGGATTTTACATTCCTCTAGATACTTAAATCATACTAATTTTGGAGTTGTAAGAAGATACAGTGTGGTGAATATATTACATGTACACTGTAATCTGGGAAGCCAGATGGCCTGGAGGATTGGTAACTGGATATGGAGCATTTCAGCTCTAGGTCAGTGGTTCAAATTTGATCTCAGTTGCTAGCGAAAGAAAAGTCATTATAAGCTGGTGACTTCTGAGTGGTCTGCTCTTGACCAATAGCATTTTGGCTCCTCTGTCCAACTCAGAGGGAAACTAATAGATAGCTTGCTGGACAGCTCCTCCAAAGGGTTTTATTGATTATTTCTTTTGCCTTGTTGTTTTTGTACATTCCCTCTTGACTCGCTCCAAATAAGAAGGTTTTGTTTTTCTTGTGCAAAGCTTTAAGTCAGAAATCAAAATCACCAGTCCTATTGTTCCCCACCCACTATGATCAAAACACTATTTGTACTTCAAATACACATACAAATAAAAGATTTTGACATTGCAAAGAGATAAAACTGATTGTAAAAGAGAGAGAGAATGCTATAAAATAGTTTGAAGCTATGTGAGAAAAGCTGAAAAATAGTGAGCATAATTTCTAAGATCCTTTTATTTAATCATTAAAAGAGAAGTAAATGTATTGATTTGCAATATTTGTACAGCATGCAATAAATGTTTTTAGAGTAAAATTAATAAACAAAATATAAAGTAATAAATAAAGTAAATAAAACCTGAATCTGAAGCAGCAATAATACTAGGAAGAGATTAAGGCTAAAGCAAAGCAATTGCTCAAGATGACAATAGAACAATGCATTTAAAAATCATAAAAAAGATTTTATGAGAGAAAATCCTGGGAAAATTAAAAGATCATGTGGCATTGAAAAAGAGCACAATGCAAATGCCTGTCAACTCTCTCTGGAGAGAATAGTCCACAACAGAGGTCTTCGTGGATGAATATTCTCCTTTCTAGTAGGCAGCTATCATACCTCACTTTCTAGAAGCATGCGTAAAAGAGTATTTTATGGTAATCTTATGGCAGAGTTTGAGGACCTCTGGTCTATGGGCTAAATGTGGCCATGGCCAACTGAGTCAGCTCATCTGGCCCACCTGAGACTGAGGGAGAACCTTCTTTGAAGATGTGCCACCTCTGAAAAGTGAGAGGGTCGCATAAGGAAGTTAACCACAACTTTGAGGCCACATTTGATGTGGCTTCCCTCCCTTTCCTCAATTGGAGCATCAGAGAGAGGAGTAAAGCCATTTTGGGGCTCAGCCAAGTCAAATTTGGCTGCTGCTTAGCATCCCAAAAGGGACAATGAGAGAGCATAGCTCAGCTAATGCTTTGAGACACTGATCTTTCAAGTTACAACCAAGTTTCTCAACAGGGAGAAAAACAGAGAAAGGAAAAAAAAGACCACCAAGGTTTGAGGATATGACGGAGAAGGAAGCAATTCCATGAGAGGAGTGCTTTGATGCTCTGTAGTTTGTATCATGCCCCCTTTCTCCTATGTGTCTAACAGAGTTTACTGTTAGTTTCCATGGGATGAAAAATGCAGAATACAGTTTAGCAAGAGAGAGAGAGAGAGAGAGAGAGAGAGAGAAGCAAAGAACAAGCATAATTAACAGTTAGCTCCTTTCATGTCAAACCTGCCATATCTGAGCTCAATACATGTATTCCTAAGAAAACATCACCCCTCCTCACCAAGCCTAGAAGAGTTAATTGACTACAATTCCTAGTACTACGATATACAATAACTGGGGAATTCTGAGAGTTGTAGGCAATAAAGTAACTTTCCCAGGCAATTCTGAAGAGATTCTGCTAAAAGAAGATGAGCATTTATGAAACTGATAACCAACCATTTCCCTAATTCATTCATGTTCCTTATAGTCCACCTCCCTCCCCGACTAGTTCCCACCTGCCTGGTCTTTATTTGTCTTCTACCAGTTTGCTCGTTCATTTCCATACTACAGTCATGTCCCTAGATTTCTATGTCAATCAAGGGCAGTGTTGATGATTCCACTTTAACTACCATGATATCAAGATTTCTCACCCAGTGGGTTCATCTGGTGCCTGCCCAAATTATGAATTCAAGGATTCTATTGGATGTAACTATGTCAGTTGATATGGAATCATAGTACAGGCAATGCCTTGGATAAGAAAAATATAGGTTTTATAGGTTTGTTCTTTAGTTGAATTTGCATGTAAGTCAGAACAGGCACATGTTTACATGCAATTCCAGCCAATTTTCTTCAGTTTTAGATACCACAGGGAATGGTTAACACCTCTGTGGTGTTTGTTTTGCTGCCTGTTCGTCTGTTCAGAAGATTACACCTCACTTTTTCCCCTGTGACAATTGGGTTTTGAAAAATTTGAGTTGTGGAAATAAAGATTGGTGATAAAGATACCTTTTAATCATAATAACTCTTACAGAAGTGAATTTCCCATTCTAGAGGTAGATTTCTTCTCACTTTCTGTTGTCTCGCCCTCATTTGTAACTAGGAGTCATATGGAAGTTGGTTGTTTGTAACACGGGAACTGCCTGTACTGTTAATCGTTTCTTGTAGTCTTAAAGATACTACAAGATCCCTTTGCACACTGATCAGACTAACATGGTACTATAATTGTATCATGTGAAAATAGTTCCAGAGTATAATACACATCAGATCCTGCAAGTTCGGCCAATGATCATAGATGCTGGAAATTGGATTGGGGAATACTGATTCAGCACAGGGCTTCTTATCATTCAGCCCTTCAGCTATTTTGGATTTCAACTTCCAAATTCCCGGGCTGATGTCCATGCTGGCTGGTGCTTTCAGTTGAATTCAAAGCATTTGCAGGACCAAATTTTGGAAACCACTGATCTGTAACAAAACATCTTATCAACCAACTTATCATAGTATTGTCTACCAAAACTTCTTATCAACTGACTCAACTTGTTTATTTATACTTCCTTTTTGCATCCTATTCTTGTCCTTACAATAATTTATTTTCCAGAACAAGTCTTGGAAAGCTGCCATTTGGTGAGTTGAGTTGAAATGATACAAACTCATTCATCCTGTTCCCACCACTTGCAGTACTAAACAAAATCTGTTTGTTTTCTCTTCAACTTAAAAAGCATCTTATACAGTGGATCCCCATTAGAGGATTACATTCAACAGTCAAGCTTTCCCTTCCTAGTAGTACTGTAATAAGCTGCCGACAAGAAGTATGGATCACCATACGAGGCATGATTATCTTTAATTACTTGGCAAAATGTGTGTAAATAAATTCCAAAGAAAGTTGGGTTTCAGATGTCATGCAACTGCTCTAATTACGTTGAGCTGTCAACCAGTAGCAGCTATATTGGATGCTCTGAGCTATTGTTAGTTATTAGCTTGTAGTAGAAGCATGTTCTTGGCCGGATTCAGAAAGTGGAAGGTTTCCCGCCTTATCTGCATTCAGAAACCGTTCTTGAGACTAAAGGTAAGCCTCCAGCCCAACTAGAGAAATTTCAGTGAATTAATCATATGGGTTGTAGTCAATTAATCTTTTAATTATATTTGTTTGAGGTAAAAAAACCCCATTATTTCTGAAGCAATAAGCATGTTTTCTTTGAACAACCTGGCAGATCTGGGAGCCAATTCCTCCCTTTCTGGAACCTATTCAAACCAATCTCCACTGACAAAAATTGGTGGCAAATTATGCCACTATCGTCAGTGCCAAAGTCCTTTGAAATGAACAAGAAATATTAATTTTAAAGGGATTTCATCCATATGGATACCTGATTGTCTACTTGTTTTAAGGCAGTGGTTCTGGTAAACTGGCTGGGATTTCTGGGAGTTGTAGGTCAAAACACCTGGGGACCCACAGCCTAAGAACCACTATTTTAAGGGCTCTTCAGTGGTTCTTTGCTAGGATTTGATTAAATTGTAGGAGTATGCGTGGAGCTGGGTCAAAGGGAAAGTTGGTCTCAAAATAGCTACCAACCATTGCAATGTAGATAATGCACATATTGTAGTAGAAATAATTTTAAAAGTGGAGTTAAATTTGAATGGATAAAAACCCATTTCATTTTCATTTATATTGATTTTTTTTAAAAAATCTGCTACTTAACAGGACACCTCTTTTTAGTCAGGTACACATATGCAGAGAACTTAGTCAAATTATTCAATTACAGTTGAATCCCTATCCATATTTCCCTGAGGGTAAACTTCATTGAATCCAACACGCCTTGCTTCTAAAAAGACCTGGAAGTTATATTGAGAAATGTAGCTGTTTGTTTGGATTTTTTTTTTTTTGAGAAGGACAATACTTTACCCTTGAGGCCCATATCCAGAGGAGAGATCAGGCTCAAATCCCATGGTTTTCCTCTCACCCCACATTATAATGAGATATATAATTAAATGGAAAACCCTGGGATCATGCTTTAACTCAGTCATTCTCAACCTGTGGGTCCCCAGGTGTTTTGGCCTACAACTCCCAGAAATCCCAGCCAGTTTACCAGCTGTTAGGATTTCTTGGGGTTGAAGGCCAAAACATCTGGGGACACACAGGTTGAGAACTACTGCTTTAACTTTATGGGGCAGGAAGTAATCAAATATATGCGTCACGTCCCTTCTTGATCTCTCACCCTACAGAATTTCAGGACAGAAATAATATCCTAACAGGACTGAATTCTCTGACTGCTCTATGAGGCAGATTAGCTGAGCATCTGAAACACAAGAATATGGAAGAATAATTTTACAGCCCTGATTTTCAACCCTGGGTCTTCCAGGTTGAGAACCGGTGTTTTGGGCTTCAGCTTCCACCATCAGCCATGGTGGCTGAGGTTTGCCGGGAATCAAAATCCAAAACAACTGAACTTCAAGCATTGAAAACTGGTGTTTCTCCTTCCTTCTTGGCAATGAACATAAGAATGTGTGAAGAAGCAACATAATGCTGTCAGAAACTAAAGAAAACTGAGAAAATTTATCCAATTTGCATCTCTGAACTAAAATGCTCATGCTGCCTTAAGTCCATTATTTTCTATGTTTATAGTATGATCCAAGCAACAAATAATGTGTTTCGAAAATGTAGGCTTTTCAAAAAACACACACATTTCTGATTTTCTTAATGAGAGGAAAATGTGCTCAATTATAAAATGTGCAGAATTGCTGCACACTTTTTTAAAAATGCATTTAGTGCAGAAAAAAAAATCAATCCTCCTAATTTAATAAAGGCATAAAGCAGAACAGGTTTGAAAGTGGGATGTAACACACTTGAAATTATGTACGCCTAGACTGAGTTAGGAACTAGGATGTTCTGGGTTCAAATTCCAACTATCCCCACTTCAGAACAGAAAGAGAAGCCAAAAGGCCTAGCTCTTGTCCTCTCAGTCCCATGCTTATTATATAAGCAGAATAATAATACTAACCTGCTTAATAGAATTGCTTTGAGGATTTGAGCAAAAGAATTGGTGTTGAGCACTTGAACACTGTCCAAGGTCATATTAATGTCAAGTATTATTAATGTTTATCAAATTCTTCTTGCATTGCAAAAGACTATAATTTAACAACTAGAAATCTATTACATGAATCCAACTACTCTAGAATGATAAAAAGACTATTTCCACACTTAACACAAATATGAAAGGGAAAAGAAAAGTAAAAAAAAAAGTAGTACCTTCTTTTGTCTGTTTTCTGCGGCAATCAACTGAGCTGCCATTCTCTCTTGCATCTTTCTGCAGTGAGCCATAACAGCTTCCAAAATAGAGAGTGGGTTGGTACAGATGGACTTCTTGTCTTTATCACCAGCACCTGTCTCATAGTCTCTCTGCAATGCCAGAAATGGGTCACTAAGATTAAATCTCCCATACCGCTCCTGGATGAAAACCTCCTTCCGCCGTGCCTAAAGTATAAAACAGAGAGAAACAAAAAGATCAGCAATTAGAGAAATATTAAAAGGGCTATTCATATACACACACAAAAGAAGCAGTTAATTGGAAGTTGTATTTGAGAAATAAAACAGTTAGATGTTTAGACTCTTGCAAATTAATTCAGAATTTTACAATAAATAAGAAAACATGTTGTAGGACACAAAATAGTTTATGACCATGATTTAAAATAAGCTACAACTTTCACATGTGAATACTTGTACTCTCATAAACATGCATACATTGAGGCAAATCGGTAATCAACTTCTCAAGGTATTGGTAATTATTTCAGCTACCTTCATTTTCTCCAAGATGCCTTCCCTTACACCAATCCATCACATATACATTTCTAATATGGCATTTCTGTGAGTCATTTCCCATTTCATACCTTCCAGTATTTCAGATTAAAACCAGGGCACACGTAACTAAGGCAAAATCAGAGTGTGATCAAGATGGCAACAGTTACTGAGAAGAACAAACAAGATAGAAGAGGCTACAGAACTTAGATTTTGCCTGAATCTACTGGAAAAAACAAGATTCCACCCCCTCCTTTTCACTGAGTGTAAATTACTTTGGAACTTTGACCTCATTTTGAACCAACTGAAGTAAGTTAAAGACAAAGGGGGAAAGGGGAACAAGGAGAGAGACACTTGTGCCAGATTCCTATACAACCATTACATGCTATTTAGCAACAGAATGTGCTATGTAGTAAATTATCCATAACTGTCCCTTCCCAGACTCACTTACTATTAAGCAGCCCCTGTCAACTGGGAAGTAGTAGCCTGATATCAGCATCATGGATTGGGTACACAGAGGATTGGGCAACCTGGAAGGCGCTGAACAGGCTACACTCAGGCACCATGAAATATAGAGCTAACCTTAAGAAATGGGGCTACAAAGTGGAGTCCACGACATTTGAGTGTGGAGAAGAGTAAACCAAGACCACCTACTACAATGCAATCTGACCCCTGCCACATGCACAATGGAGGACCGTCTTACAGCAACACCAGAGGACCTCCAAGTGGCCATCTTCTGGTCAAAGAACATTTAGCATAATGCCAAGTTATTAACTTTGTTTGTTTTTTTAAAAAATACATTATAACTATATCCTCAATTCGCTTCTGACATGATAAATAATCAGCATAATCACTATCACCCTGCTTCTCTCCCAAAGGAGACACAAAGTGGTTGCTTCCTGACTGCGACATTCCTATCCCTTCCCCCATGAGGAATCTCTAGCACAGCAGACAAAGCATCTCTGTCACAAATTCCCTTTGTACCAATTATCATTGTTTAGGGTTGGTGGGATCAGGCAGATGCTTCCCAATTGCCAGAGGAACAGACCCCTGTTGACTGCAGTATCTGCTTAGAGGTAAAGGGGTGTAAGAGACTATCATAGATCCTATGTAATCCCAAAATTTGAGGCTGCATAGGAATCATGAATATAAAGCAGTTGCAAATCTGTAACTCGAGGTTACATACTTGGAATTGCCCGTTAAGCTTCTGGCTGAACATTTTAAAAGTAGCTGAAAAAGTGGGACGACGGTGGATTAATCGGGACTGTTGCTGCCAAAATGGGGCAGTTGGAGGGTTTGGTATTTATGACCAATCCTTTTGTTCTCAGACAAGTAGGAGGGAGATACTATTACAGAAAGCTAACACATCCAACCCTGACATTCACAAAGGATTCTGTCAGCAGTACAAAAGTAAAGAGCATTAACAATATAGCACAGTTTTCTTTGGGTTATTTTCTTTCTATGTTGTATTATATCCTATAAGCATGTGATTACATTTTGTGTAACAAGTGAGGAATCATCTATAGGAATGGTCTTTAAAATTAAGACTGCTGTTAATCTTCATTCTGATACAATTCAGAACAGCAATTGTCACTTTATACTTGTGTATAACACACCATGACAGGTGAAAGAAGGCAACTGAAGATGTCCAAGATAATGCAGTCTTCCCAGAAGAAGCAATCTCAAGGGGAATGCATGGCAGTCTTCCTCTTGATTTTGATTTATAAGTCACCTCCAGAAGTTGTCATTTCTGCAGACTCCTTTCTATAGCACACTCGCTGAATGAATTGAATTAACATTAAGTGCTAACTTAGAACTCAGCAAATGATGAGACTAGTTATTGGATTCAGACTGTAGTGTGAACACAGATGAGAAAAACTGCAAGAAGAATTCATTGTAGACAAGATGTTTCTCCTACATTGATGACTTTTGCAAATAACAAATAGAGAAGGCCAAATATCTTAACAGCCCTGATGGAGGGAGAGCCCTGAAACTCTACATTTCTGGTTTAAGTAAAATTGACTTCCTTTACTTCTTTCGGTTAATCAAGGTCAATAAAGTACAAGCCTAAGGGGAGAGGTTTTTAACAGAGAGTATACACATCTATTGTTGAAGGCTTTCATGGCTAGAATCACTGGGTTGTTGTAAGTTTTTCGGGCTGTATGGCCATACAGCCCAAAAAACTTACAACAACCCAGTATATACATCTTTCAAGCCTTCAGCAGATGTGATCTCTTCAAGTTTGAATGTGAATAATAAGGAAGAGAAAGTCCAAAATCCGTATTGTAGTTACGCCTATTTTGACAATCAAAAAGGCACCCAAATAATGCACAAGCTATTAAGAGTTTCCTATGTTTTCATATTGGAGAGTTTATATGACATTTCAAGATGAAGTGTAGACAACGTGACTTTTAGATCAGGACAGTTGACTCACTGAATCATTGAGGTTTTGCTCTATATTGGCTTTCCATTCAAAAATTGATTTGGTAGGTCTGTCCTAGGCAGGACTAACCAAAATTATTCAAGCCTAAGCCACCCTTTCCTTATTCTAATCTCTTTTTTCATGGTCAATTACAAGATTTTAAGAACTTGAAAACTTGAACACATCTAGTAGCTTTCTGACTAGTCTCATGAAGTTATTACTTGTATTACACTGTGAATTTTGGAATCTTAACACATGGAGCCTCTGCTATACAAAAATGTAGGCCTTTCACTACCATATTTAAAAAATAACAAACTCCAGCAAAAAAATGAATCATGGTCTAAATATAGAAATTCAACTTTAAAAAATCTACTTGTCTTATATATAGTTTTTGAAAGGGAAGTGATGAGTAAGTGCAAACTCTTATGATATTATAGGAAATAGGAGACATTAATTATAACTTTTCTACGCAAGACACAATGTGTGCTAGACTACCAAGTCATTGAGAGTAAGCATCTTAAAAGGCCCAGTGGTGAACAAACAGATTCATCATTTGGAAAGGACCAATATAGGGTTATTACTTTAAGCCTATTAAAGTACTATCACACATGTAGAGCTATACCTGCTGGACTTACCTGTCCACATTTGAATAGCTAAGGAATTGAGGGACATGTCTGTAGCATGCCCATCCTAATATTTTAAACTCTATTTGATCAGAGTTTAAATCAATGGGGTTACCTATTACAATGTCTTTTTTCAATATAACCAATATAAAAATATAAGAGAACAGAAGATTCCATTAAGGCAAGCATGTCAAATGCAAGACCCGTGGGCCAAATTCATCCTGCCATATCATTTTACATTTCTCATGGGGATTTCAATGCCAAGGCAACATAGTTGCATTTATAGTCTTACAATTACAAATGGCTCTTTGAAGACAACCATAAAGCTGATGTGGCTCTTACTGAAAATGTTTGGCACTCCTGCTTTAAGGGAAGATAATTAATATTAAGTTGATAATGCCTGAGATACTCGTTTGCATTTATAAGTTCTCCTACAGATGTGCTTGGCCATTTTGCAACATGAACAATGCTAGCATGCAGTAGAAAGTTGTAGAAATGTAGATGTACCCTTTTTGCTGTTCATTTTCTTGTGCATTTGGCTGCACATTCAGTTGGATAACATTATCATTCAAGATAAGGAATACATAACCACAATCAATGAACGACTCTATAGGCAAAATAATTTATACTATGCAATCCCTATGTTGGATCTAGACCTATGTGTTCCAGAAATATGCAGCATTTGTAGGATACGCGTTTTTAAAATAATAATCTTTATTGAAAGTTTTTCATTAAAAACATTCAAAAAAGAGAAAAAACTATGTGTGTGTGGGTAAGTATATAAAAGGTAGAAGAGAAAAATATAAGAGAAGAGAAAAAAGGAAAAAGGAAAAGACATAGAAAAAGGAAAAGACATAGAAAAAGGATTATAACAGAGAAAGATATATATAGAGAGAGGGAGAGAGAGAGAGAGAGAGAGGTGGAGGGAGGAGGAAAATATTTTTTGACTCCTAGGTATTTTCTTTGAGGTTTCCACCTTTTCCTTCCTTCTTGCTCTTTATTCTTTCTCCTTCTCTTCTTTCCCTTTTTTCTGTCTTGATGTGTGTACTCTTCTTCCTCATATAAATATTTTCTTTTTATTTCATTTTAAGTATTCTGTAACTTGATTCCAGTCAGTTTCTTTCCTGGGACTACCCTTATTTTTGGAGATTTGATATGTAAGTTGTAGGGTGAACGGTAAACATTTGTATGCCTTACATGAGCGTGCATCCCTTTTAGCTACAGTAAAAGTAGCTAAATCACATTGGCCATCTTTTGAGTCAGACCTTCACTTTTGTGGATCTGATTTATCATTGACTTGGTTAAAATGTTCTCTTTAGGATTCTCTAGGTCCAGAAGAATGATACAGTGGTCAAATTCTTTCTTTGTAATAAAAATGTAACATGTTGCAATACATCCAGTATTTGTGAAGAATGTTCTCTTCTGCAGGAATTTTCATGCAATGAATTGAGAGTGGCCAAGCTAGCTCGTTCGCTCTTCCTCTCAAAAGATTAATATGTCCCACGCAGTGTCCTAAAATTTGGGTTTGAATCAATACATATAGCATTGTGCTGGGTTTGGGACTTTGCGGAATCAACTATTGTTAGTTCTTTCAAAATGTTGGTGCTCAATATTGAACAGCTCTGTTTAACCTA